TTTTTCCATTTTCAGTATGAAGGTGCGGCAGCTGAAGGTGGGAGAGGACCCAGCATTTGGGATACTTTCACTAAGATTCCAGGTCATATTATTTTACAGTCTCTATATATCTCCCTTAAACACGCAGTACAGAATAATTAACTCTCTCCTAATCTCCCTAGATTAACCTAGATCAATAGAATCCTAAATTGTTCACGCAGTACATAATAACAGGTTGGTTCATTTGTTTAGCGATATGCTAATAGCTAAATCTTGTGAAACTCGACTAAATTGTTCACGATTCAATATTTTTACGAAAAAATTTAAAACTAAGACAAATATTATGAGAGGCAGAAACATGGAGAAAAGTAAACCATAATTAGTTTTTTTTCCCTATTTCAATTCATTTTTGCTTCATTTGACAATTGCCCTTGGTCTTCCCTTCTTTTGGTTTTTAATGAATTAATTAATCTCACATTGTTCATTAATACCTTTGAATTCTTCGTGTACACGACAAACAGTTCTGCGAGAATAATTTTCTGAATCAACTTCCGGTTCGATTCTAAAAACAATGATTATTACACCGTAAAAACCAATGTTGTCAGAACCGAATCGGAGCATGACCTGGTAATGCGAATGACTCGCACTTTAGTGGTCCAACCGACATTAGACCGTTTAAAAACCGTTAGAGAACCAGTACCTAATAAATGTTATCAGTATAAATAGTGGACATTTCTTAATCATAGCTCGTCTCTTTCCTTCAAAATTGTGAAATGAAAATAAGGATTCAGTTTGAGAGCCCGACATTTTTGGTTTATTTCAATTTTTAATTTTCTGCAATTTTTTTAATTAAATTTAACGGCTGAATGGCAAAAACCAGACGAGTGGCGATTAACCACCTTGGCCGCTCGTCAACCGCTATATAAAACCGGAGCAACTTTTAGACTGTTCCGAACCAATTTTGTGACCGGGTGGCGGTTTTATCGGTCGGACTGAGCGGATCGGCTCAGCTTTAATAACACTGGTAAAAACAACTAATGGGTAGATGTTGATGATTGGTGAAAATGGCAGGTAAGATTAGCGATGGTAGCACTGGGGACGTGGCGATTGATTCGTACCACCGTTACAAGGTACACTAATCAAAACATGCGTAGGATTAGAACTTTCATTATAATCGAACTTTAATTATGCACCACTAATTCATCTCTATTTACTTCTTAATCCTATATTATCGCAGGAGGATGTTAAAATCATGAAGAACATGGGTTTAGATGCCTACCGGTTTTCAATATCTTGGTCTCGAATATTACCTAGTAAGTGTGCCACCTAACAATTTGATTTCTTTCTTTCTATTGCACACTTGAGATATTTATACATTGGCTGATTAATTAATTAGTCTTAATAACTAACAAAAATTAATCAGATGGAAAAGTGAGTGGTGGTGTGAATCAAGAAGGAGTCGCATATTACAACAACCTCATCAACGAACTCCTGGCTAATGGTACATAAAGAGTTACCGATTTTTCATTTGGTGTTTAAATTTTCAAAATTAATGTTGTTGTCTTCTAATTAATTATGCAATGATTACTTGCAGGCATCAAACCTTTCGTAACCCTCTTCCATTGGGACCTTCCTCAAGCTTTGGAAGATGAATACGAGGGCTTCCTCAGCGCTAAAATAGCGTAATCTCTCTGACCATATCTATTTCTCTCTGTTTAAAATACTTTCGAATTTAAATTGTATAAGACGACAAATGGGTTAGATAAATATTTTATTAAGTGATGAACTTCCCCTCTAATTATGTGTAATCATGAGAGATTACGTGCAACAGGGGCGATTTCGCTGCATATTCTGATGTTTGTTTCAAGCTATTTGGGGACCGAGTTAAGCACTGGATCACACTGAACGAGCCACTCACCTACACCCAAACCGGTTACGTGACGGGACAATTCGCACCGGGTCGTTGCTCAAAATCGATCAACAATAACTGCACCAAGGGCGACTCCGCAACAGAACCGTACTTGGTAACACACAACCAGCTTCTTGCTCATGCGGCCGCCGTGAAGGTGTACAGAGAGAAGTACAAGGTAATTATCGATGAATGCATAACAATCGTCTAATTAGTTCATGTATCGTCAAAATCCACATTGTAATCCTAATTGGTTAAGGAAATGAATGGGCTAGTTCATGATTGTAGTTTTATGATGAAAATTAATAACGCAGGCAAGCCAAAAGGGGATGATAGGGATTACACTAGTGTCATCTTGGTATGTCCCCTTCTCTCAGTCCAAACATGACCATGAGGCTCAACAACGTGCACTCGATTTCTCGTATGGATGGTACGTAACTACAATCTATGCTAGATGGCTGCCTGTCAGTGGGTGACGATTCTTGTATTTTGATCGGGTACATAATTAATTAACCGAATTTGTAGGTTTTTGAACCCGTTGGTTAGAGGGGAGTACCCTAAATCCATGAGGACCCTCGTAGGGAACCGATTGCCCAAGTTTTCAGAGGAGGAATCGAAGCTAGTGAATGGCTCGCTTGATTTTCTTGGGTTGAACTATTACACGTCTAGCTATGCAGCCAATGTGAATCCAGTCAACTCCCTGAATGCGACCTACTTGACAGACTCTAGAGCCAAGCTCTCCAGTAATTATAGCTCGATATTTAATAATTAATTTACGTTATAACTATAACTCGATATTTACCTAAACTATTCATTTAATTCGATTTTATTTTATGGATGAAGGCGAAAGGAATGGGGAACCCATTGGCCTTCAGGCGGCTTCCAAGTGGCTGTACATTTACCCAAATGGGATCGAAGAGCTTGTAATGTACACGAAGGAGAAGTACAATAACCCACTTATTTACATTACTGAAAACGGTAAGAAAATTGTAGTCATTTAATTACCCTATATTGATTTCTTGCTTAAATTATGTTGATTAATTATTGCTTATGTAATTGGGTAGGTGTGGATGAGGTAAATAATGAGGGTTTGAGCTTGGAGCATGCTCTTGCCGATGAAACCAGGATTTATTACTATCACCAACATCTTGCTTCCCTCAACAAAGCAATCAAGTGAGTTTACTAAAAGAAAAGAGAACATTTTATGCTCCCATCTCTCTTATTAGATTTAGGGTGGATCTAATAAGTTTTTTTTTGTGTTTAATGTATGTGTTTTTGTTTTGTAGGAGAGGGGCGAACGTTAAAGGATACTTTGCGTGGTCGTTGCTCGACAATTTCGAGTGGGCGTCGGGGTACACAGTTCGATTTGGAATCAATTATGTGGATTACAAGGACGGGTTGAAAAGATATCCTAAACATTCTGCTCATTGGTTCAGAAGCTTCCTGAAAAAAGAATAGGGTTAGTCATATATACCCTAGATTCATCAGGTTGATTCTGTAAAAAAATAAAAGATAGGCAATCAAGTACATTGAATAAACTTTCGTATGATTAAAGATGAATGATATCATATGATTATTTGTGTGAGTGTGACGAAGGAGTTGGATAATATGTAGGTAAAAACTTTAGGCAAGACGCCGTTAATTGTCTTTACTTCATCTATCTCTTCGTCTAATACGTGATCTCGCCAGATAATGGCAATGATAGCAATGATTAGGGTGGCTTCGCCGCCTTTGCCAGGTGATCGTGGATTCTAGGCTCAGCTTATTGTATATTGGCTCATTAAGTTTACCAATTGGGTCTACAATCTCTTGGGCTATTCAGACTTGGTTAGTCCAATATTCCCAACAACCATTTTGCACGTCTTGATCTTGGGCTCTTCATGCTTGGTACGGAAGGGCCAGACCCTGCGGCCCATGTATTAACAAGGAATGCCAACGAGTCGAGTTTGTGGCTGATAGTACTAAATTCGGGCATTGCTCCACCCTGCAAATTGTAACTCTTATAAATTTTGATACATATCTCCATTTTGGTTGTTAATACTTCGTCCATTTTATTCAGTTTTCTGCTGTTTCGTCTCTGTTTTCCAATAACTCCTAATTTGAACAAGTGGACAAGTCTTCCAAAGATTTGATGCGTTTGGTTCAAGTTTTTACTGCACCAAGACAATCGGCCATAACTCGTAGATCACATTTTGATACATGACTACAAGATTTTCTTAACGTACATGTGATTGCCGAACTACCTACAAAATGTTGGGTAATTTACTTTTATGCCTTCCAAACTAATTAGTACATTAATTAATGAAAGGTTGTTACAAATTCGAATTTACAAAGCCATGGACTGGGAGGTTGGCAATCATCACTCCTACATTGTGGTCGTAGTACTATCTAAGGGGTGTTCAATTGGTTACCGTGGTAATAACCAAACCAATTAAGTTTAAATTTCATTAACCATGGAATAAAATATCTTAACCAAACCGTCCAAATCAACACGAAAACTAAATTAACCAAACCAAATTTTAATTGGTTTGGTTAATCGGATAATTGGATTAACCAAATAAAATAACATTACATGAAAATAATTATCCTGTTAATGAATAAAACATAGCCATATGTTATTACTATCATGAACTATCATTATATATAAGCAATAATAATGAGACTAACCATCCATGATTATCATCATCATTCGAGTTAATACATCATTCATTATCTCTGCACCTAATATAGTTAGCTTACAACAAACCCTTAACATGAATATTAAATACATACCAATACCACTCATCAGGAAGTTAAAGCTCTCCTACAAAACACTTAAACTATACATAGTTTGAGGTGACTATCATGGTATTGTACGTAATCCTAAAGTCTAGTAGTTGTCCAAAATGTTTTGGTTTAGTAAATAGACAGACCCATTTAATTTTGGGTTATAGGTATAATATGGCCCTCTACTATGACGTTTTATCAAACATGCTCATCTACTATTTTATACATCAAATATGCCCCTGTACTTTGAAAAAATTACCAAACATGCCCTTCTGTTAAAATTTTCATTGATGAGAGTGATGTCTCCTTCGCCTCCGCCGCGGGCATTTGGGGGGAGAGGAGGAACTGAGACGCCTGTGATTTATTATTTTTATCGTTATTTTACTATTATGCCCTTGTTGTTAGTATAACAACACTTTAAGCGTTGTTATACTATCCGGACCCTTAATTAATTAACTTAAAACAATGAGATAACTAAATAAGCAGTTAATTATAACTTCTTCCATTGATGCTTGCCAAAGGTCAGCTTCTACTTCATTTTGTTGCAATTTAACCAAAAAAAAAAAAAAACGAACCCCAAAGATAAAATAAAAAACAGATAAAAGAACCTTGTCAATGTCAAGAAACATAACTTCCTAAGCAAACTAAACTAGCTAACTTGTACCATAAATAAAAAAACCCTCAATGTCCATCAATCTCTTGATGAACATCTAGTTATAGCACTTGGTAGTGGAAAAAGTCGTAGCAACCTGATCACTACCAGGAAACGTTGGCGACGAGTAATTAGCATAATCCCAAAGCAAGAGGTTCTGCTTCCAAGCAGCTGTAGTAGGAGTGCTGCAACCATCATGACCCAAGTAGCTGAACGGAAGGCCATCGATGTGCGCCAAATCGGGGCTCTTCGTCGTCGTCGACATCATAATCGAGGCAGGATCATGTGAAGAACCACTAATCAACGACGACGACGAGATGGCGCCACCATTACTAGTAACGATATTACCACCGTTGCCATTGCTATGCTGAGATCCGTTACTAAACTGGTCCACACTACTACTCATACTCTCGCGATCACCACCACCTCCACCACCGGCCTGTTGCTTGAAATGATTGCCGACGAGCATCGAAGACAACGACGAAGATGATGGCATGTTTAGGAGCACGGAGGAGAGATCCGATGTGCACTTCGCCGATGAGAAGTTTGCACTACTTTCATGGTCTGCCGCCGTGGAGTAAGGGTAGGTGTGGAGATGGTAGGATGGCTTTGGAGCCAATGGGATGATGCTGTTGTTGATTGGTTTGAAAGAGTAGAAGTCCGGTGAAGCGTAGTAGTTGTTGTCGTTGTAGTTGTAGTCGAACGACAGACGATGAATGGGAGGAAATGACGGAGCAGTCGTAGTTGTAGTTGCGGAGCTCATAAACGACTGAGTGAAGCAATTTGGAGTGGTGGAGGTAGGGAGTGCCGCTTCTTCTTGAACTAATGACGGTGACACCCAAGATTGCGAGAGCGCCCTTTGTGCCGTCGAACTCGTCTTCTTAAATATCCTACAAATCGCCCACGCATCCTGAACCCATATATTAACCAGAGGAAAAAAAACGAGTTATACTAGAGTCACATGACTGACCACAGTCAAGAACGAAAAATCGAACCCTTTTATTCAGTCCTTACGTTGGGTTGGATGGTTGTGTCGACGAATCTCTTGGAGGAGTGGTGGCCGGCGGCGACGGCGGCGAGGGAAGGGAGGCGGAACTCGTGCATCATCCAGTCGGTCTTCATCCCTTTGGCGGCTCTCCCCTTGTAGAACACCAGCGACTTCTTGAGGCCGATGCAGTACTTGTTCCCTTCCGACGAGTAGATGGGCCGGTCCGTCCCGGTGGCCTTCCAGAAGCCCGATCCGGTCACCCTGTTGGGCCTGGCGCTGTTCCTGTACTTCCTGTCCCTCGGGCAGAAGAAGTACCACTCTTTCTCTCCGGTCCCCGTCGCCATCTCTTCACGCCCAACACACAAACAAACATTAGCTCGCTATAGCGAGTAACAATGGACAAGAAGTAAAAGGAAAGAAGAAGTGGCCTGGTTGTGTTTCTTCTTACTCGGGAGATCCCATGGGTCGTACTTGTAGATGTCGAGCTGCTTGATGAGGTCGATGGAGAGAGGGCGGAGCTGAGTCTTCCTCTTGAGGTAGAACCCTACGAGCTCCTCGTCGGTGGGATGGAACCTGAAACCTGGCAGCATCACCTCTTGCTCCACCGCTTCAACTAGTTCACTACTACTCATGTTGTTGTTGTTAGTATTAGTATTAGTGTTGTTGCTACAACTACTCCCACTGTTCCTCTCGCTCTCCATTTCCCTAAACTCCAAGTGGAGAAAGAGAGAGTACCAAACCCTAGAGAGGAGACAAAAGTTGAAGGGAGTTGGTATGTGAAGGAAGAAGAAGAAGAAGAAGAGGGGGGAGAGAGAGAGAGAGAGAGAGAGAGAGAGAGAGAGAGAGAGAGAGAGAGAGAGGAAAGGCAAAGCAATATATGGATGGTTCCTGAGAAGGGTTCTGCCTGGCGAAAGATGAGCCGCCTTTCCTGGTGGGGAAGGGTTGGCTTTTACTCTTTTTCTTACTATTTACTATTACACAAAAGAAGAGGTGAAAATATGAATTTGGGTTTTGAGGATTGTGGTTTGTGTGTATATTTATGAGCTGAGAGTGGTTTATGAGGTTAATAATGAGGGAACCCACTTGGTGTTTATATATATCAGCGGTAATGAGAGGAGATTGAGGAATCTCAAGGATGCAACCAAATCAGCAGCTCATGGGGAGTACTAACTCTATTAGTTATTAATTAATTAGTGTAATCACAATCAACTCTCCATATGTATATCTGATTTCACAAGCAGACAAAGCAAACTTCTTCGTTGAGAGAGGGGGGAGAGAGAGAGGAAAAAAAAAACAAAATTAATTGTAATGAAGTGAAAAGAGAAGAACCAATACTATTTTAATTTATAATTAATTAGGGTTTGGGTGGTGGTGGTGGTCTTTGTTTGAATTGTGATTTGGGTAAGCGGAAATTGAAAATTTGAGAAGAAAGGGCAAAAACACAACTCCCAACGCATGCACTAAAGCTCAGAATTATATTCAAAGTTTGATGAAATGTATTGTTATTATTAGTGGGGTTGGGAGGGTTAAAATATCCATTTAAGTTGCCTCAGAATCCGTAAATGCAGTTTCTATTCCATTCCCCACAGTTTCTATTCCACTGATCTTGTCAGGGTTCTTAATAGATTTCTTAATATTTCATTTTTTTTATTTTTTTGTTAATTACTACACATTTATCAACAGATGCTAGCTACAGCAGCTACCTAAGCAACCGTGTAAGCTAATCAAGTCCTGAGTATATTGATTCATTACTCAAATAATTACACAACATCAATCTTTCTTAATTGTGCATGCCTGCCTGTTGCGGATTGCAATTTGAACACGTCTCGTTGGATATTACTCGATGACTTGCAGTCTTGTACTAGGAATGGGTATGAATACTACTTTTGTCTTGTTTCGCCCCGTTATTGATCTGTTTTATCTCCATTTGTCTCAATATTTATTTTTATGCTCATATTTTTTTATTAATTTTAACTCTATTTCACCCAATAATTAATATTGTAAACAAGTGTAATGCCTCATCTCTCAACTAATTGGATTTAATTAGTCTACTTATTATCTATAGTTTCATTTACAAATTATTTTCTCTTTATTTATCTTTAAAATAATATATTTTCTTCATTAATATATAAGAATGGATCGATCAATCGACTTATTCTCGACCTGTACCCTCACATGTATTATCCTACATAATCCGTACTTGATGTGAGATGAATATGGATATTGAAATACTTGTAGCGGTCTCATTCCCATCAATATAGTGTGTGTAATTAGCTAATGACCAGTTAATTTTGCACATAAGACATAACATAGTTGAGGGGTATCTTTGTTGACCCTCTACGTACGTACACATCTTTCTTTCAGGGCTTTTTGTGGGAATGAATAATTAGATTGCTATTTAACTCGATTCCATCAATCCAAATAACCTATTGACTCATATACTAATTGGAGTCTTTCTTTGACCGACCGACCGAATTAGGCAGCAAAATTAAAGTAGCTACCTGCGGCAGCTTATTTTGGCTGTAACTGTGTGGCCTTTTCGCCTCTTATCAACCTTCAATATAAAGAAATTCACAGTAACGTTAATTTTCTTCATCCTTCTGGACATAAAACAGAGGGGGAGAAGTCTTCAAAAGTACATTCATAATGAATGTGACATGCTAGCTCCAAAACAAAATCCGCATAATGTCATATTATATATATATGTGGCTTGTATTACTAAGAAAAAGAAAGTTAAATGAATCCAACTTCTGAGCACAACCATGCTCTAAAGTCAAAACTACCACCACCCGTAGGAAACAAATTCAGGCCTTTTTTGGCTACTAAGTGGGCCATCCTATTATTCTGTCTACCTACAAACATCACACTAAAACCATCATTGGTCTCCAACAGTCGGCGAATTTCTTGAAGGATAGCTCCCGCCCGCGCGCCCCTAGTGATTCCTGCATTAACTTTGCCAATCACCACCTTAGCGTCCCCGAAGAACCGGACCTCGGAACTTGTCCCCCTAGTGATTCATGCATTAACTTTGTCAATCACACCAACGCATTGCATCACGGAGAGCCATCACCTCCACCAACATTGGGTCCACCATACCATTGTAACTTGTCCCCCTCGCCATTAAATCCCCCCCAACCTCATCCTGAAGAACGATCTCTACCAATTCATGAGACTCGTGAGAAATCACTCCGTCGAAAGAGCACCTGTTCCTACCCGTCAAGAGATCCGGCCCCCCAACCTGCACAATCGGAGTGCCAGTCGGCGCCCACCCTGTAGAGGTAAGACTATCAATCCATTCCTGCACTTGAAAATTAAATTGCCTCTCCAACACAGTAAAGGTACCATGCTGCCCCTCAAAGGCCACCAAGTTCCTAGACTTCCAAATACGCCAGAGAAGGCAAACCAAACGAACCACTCTGGCTGAAGAAGACACCTGTCAAGAATTGACGAAAGAATATAGAGAATGCTACACCGCGACCGACCTCAAAGTCCTCCCTCAAGCCTGATACCCCCCAGAAAGCCTCCACCACCAGGCAAGAAGAATAGAGGCTCTATGTTTTCTTCCTCCCCCCTAGCAGATCGGACATCTAGGCAGTACGAAGACCTTTTGAATTATTAAAGCAGACATTTTTTAAGTTTGTTGATCATATATATGATTGCACCAAAAAAAAATTGTTACGACTTAATACCAAAATAAAATTTCTAGTAAGACAAGCACTTCGCCATAGAAACCAAGAAACAACGTTGGCTATTAGATATCATATAACTAGGGATTAATGATGCTGGATATGTTCATGATACTCATATACATGGGACACACTAGGCATTCAATTCTATTGACAACTATAAGTACTAAATTCGCCATAGTACATGAAACCCAAAAGTCACAGTCGTGACTTTCAACCGTGAATCGCCACCCTCGGGTATAAACCTAGAGAGAGTATGACTTGGGAAGTTCTTGGAGCTACTTTGGTGCGATTCTTCACCATTGGAGTTCAAGAATCAAGCTTAAAAGTGAAAATTGAGGATCGGAAGAAGAATCTCATCATCATCATGAAGTCTTGTCTCTTCTCATATGCATTTCCTTCTTTATCTATGGAGTAGACTCCCTTCCTCACTTGGGTATGAGGAACCCTAGTCTTGATTGTTGAATTGGTGGTTGTAGGATACTTTGATTCATTTCAACTTGTAGTTTATATACATTAGATGCGCATTCATCGAAATTGTTTGAGCCTTGATTCTGTTCTTACGATTTCTGCTTTGACATATGAGAGATAATATCTGAATATATTTATAGAGAAAGCATCGATTGGAAGTAGATCGTCGATTACATAAGAATAAGTTGATTCTTTGCTTTGTATTGAATTTTAATCCAATAAAAGGGAATCTAGTTTGAATTGCCTACATATTGTGTCTTAGCTTATGATAAAGTCCATCTAAGCAGTCTATTCAAGAGGGGTTTGATTGTTTTAATCGAGATTCAAGGCTTATTAAAGACTTTCCGCAAAATAAAAAAGAGTGAAAATGAACACGAGGATTATCAATCATTAATTCTACTAGAGAGTATAGCTCGTCGTCTGTCTAACGTCACTCGTCGCAAGTCCACAGCTGCCGCTAACTCCAGCACCGTCACCTGCCGCAAGTCCTCACCTGTCGGTCGTCGCCCGTAGCTCGTCGTCGTCACCCGTCACCTGTCTCACGTTACTCGTCGCCCAGCGAAGCTCCAGCCTCCCGGTATACTTTCTGTCTTGTCTCCTAGCCTCACTGGTTGGACTCGGACAGATAAGAAACAACGGGGTGTAGTGATTTTGTGTTTGTAAGCAGGATGTAGTGATTTTGTTAGCCGGATGTTATAATTTTGTGATATACAGCTTGTTCAGAAGTTGAGATTTTGTGATTTACAACACTTATTCTTTGTTTTATGCAATGCAGTTAAAAACGCGATTCTACCTAAAAGCGGAAAAGGGGTAAAATCGAAAAGCGGTGAATCAAAGAGTAAAAGCATAAGTTTTTTATGCATCCTGTATAATAGTGAAAATAATGTTAAGTAAGGCATAAACTATGTAAAATATGAGTTCACATAGTTTAAATAAAAGAAAAATACTTGCAATTCATGTCTAAATCAGAACAAACTCATAACATCTTAACAATAAGGTCATAAACGTAAATCGTAACCCACAAACGAGTTAAGAATCCAAATTATCACAAGCTGGTTTAAGTTTACATAATGACATATGAGTTTAATAATCCGTGTCCTCACAATCAAAGGACACAAATGTTATAATGGATAGAAGGAAAACTACATCAATTCATCGGCTTTCACATTTGCATCCAAATCATCATCATTATCATCATCACCACCATTGCCATCAACATCAATTGGACTACTATATTCATGATCACCCTCATCTCTTCGAGCATCAACACCAATAGCATCACCACCTTCAAATCCATTCATTATCAGAGTCTATATCCTCAAAGTCGATCTCAAGCCTTCTTGCTTTCTAGGCACTCCCGCCCACCAATTTGTTGTTGCACATAACATACACAAGATCATTCATCTTTTGTGCACGCAAATTGTTCTTTTTCTTAGTATGAATCTATAAGTAAAAGCGTTCACATCACCACATATTCACATGTAAAAAGAATGAATGATATGATTAAAAGAAAATAGAGGCAATTAATTACTTACCCTCTCAAATGCACTCCAATTACGCTCGCACCCAGAAGCACTACAAGTCAAACTCAACACCCGGAGAGCAAATTTTTGAGGCTCTGGCACTTCATCTCCAAATGAAGTCCACCAATCAGCTGGATGTTGCCTATCCTTTAATTGCATTGCACCATACTTATCAAACATTTCATGAGCATGACGAAATAGATACAACTGCTCCATTATCAAAAACTTCTCTTCATCATTCTTTGCAAGTATAGATATGCACTCATACAATCCCATTGTCACGTTTGGATCATTATGGTTAAATCCTTGAGAATGGTGAATTTGAGGATTCAACTAATATGAAGCATAGTGAATTGGTCTACTCATTTGATCTTCCAACCTTTTGTCAATGCCTCTCTAAAAGTTGTGAGGGAGATCGGCGACGCAATGTTCATCGTCCAATTTTGGGCTTGGGAGCATATGCCATGGATTGCACCGGTACAACTTCCCGACCGGGATTGGCCAATCGATCATCCCCTAAGAGGGGAAGCTTATGGTACAAGGTAAACTTCTCATACCCATCATGTTTTTTCTTGGTTGATTTTCCTTTGTGTTTTAGCTTATTGTAATTTCGATTATTGTTTTATTAATAAGGTGGCTCGGACACACAACTTGTGACAACCTTGCCAACACAAGTTGGATGAGTATCGGAGGAGGTTTGAGCGACTTTGGGAAGGAGAGGTAACTTCTATACTTCGATCCATTTATACCTTTTTACCATGGAAGACATGTATTTTTCCAATTCTTACTATCTTAATTTACTCATTTTGCGCGTGTAGATCATCTTCGATCCATACCCGGAGAACATCGTTCATTGGCATCTCCAGCAATTCCCCGAGCATATCGGCCAATGGTGCACGAGGGTCCCTCTAATTTGTTTTGGGACCGTGGAGTGGCACTTGCCGGATCGATGCCTCCGTCAGTTTGGTCGGGAGCAGTGCATTCCATTGGAGGTCCCCTAAAGTCAAAAGGTCTTCCATGGTCGAGATGGGCGGCAAGGTACTCAAGATTGGCCCTTGAAGCTGAAGAAATTCATCACCATGTGGGCGAACCGACAAATGCAAGATATTTTCACTCCATCAGCAGTGGGTCGAATGGGGTATCATGACCCATACTTGGATCGATATCGGCAAACATCGGTCCGTTACATGACTCCGGAGGGTGCTGCCGATGGTGCATTAGTAAGTATAATTCACTCTACATAATTAAATGTATTGTTTTGGTTCCTAAATTGTTTCCTAACTTATTGTTTTGTGATTTAGGCTGACGGGATTGAGCGGATTAAAGACATTACCACCGGGAGAATGGAGCTGGGAAATGAAGATGTGAGCTTCATCAGGAGGATGGCAAACAGTCTTCTTGGCTGTATCAGAGCTCAGGGGAGGGATCATCGTAGATATCGGCCCATGCCCGCACCCCCGCCACCTCCGGTACAAGTTGATGTCCCCGATCCCCCACCACCATACGAGAGGAAGCTGATGCTCTAAAACACAACACCTAACAATGGCCAAGTGTAACCAATGAAAGGGACTGCAGTATAGTGGCACAAGTAATAAATATCGAATCCACGGGTCTCTAGAGTTACTATTACTCAGCTTCAGTTCATTATCTAGCAAACTAGATTAAGGATTGATTAACTAAACTACTCTACTAACTAAACTAAGTAAAACTACTAATTACAGTTTGGGAACTCACTTAGGTATGATTCCCCCTAGCTCCTCAATTAGGTCCAAGTTGTAATTCCTTTTGGTTGATTTACTGTTGATTAAACTGCGGAAGATCCGACAGTAGCTTGGAATCTCTTAAGCTGACCAAGCCCTCTCAGTCTAACTATCCGGCAGACGACTAGTCTTCACCGGGATAGAAAGCTGAAGCAATAAGCACAGAACTCCACTACTGGAATTGGATTCCAGTACAAAGCAGTAAACTGGCTAACTCTCGTATAGCCAATCTCCTACTATCGAATGATGAGACTCTAGCAACCTAATCAGATTCTATCTATCTCAGATTGCAGCAGGAATCAGGAAAAGTTGATCAGACTTCAATTGACTCAATAAACATGCATCATTCGATTATAATCAAACAATATAACATCCAAAACTTCATACAAGAAAGATCCTAACTCATGGAACTAAGGTTCCTCAAAACCTAAGTGAAGGGAAGTTACTCCATAGAGAAGAGAGAGACTGCAGAAATCTGATCTAGATCTTCAATCTCCATCTCCAAGCTTGATTCCCGAGCTCCAATGGCGAAGAAATCCTCCAAAATAGCTCCAAGAATGTTCCCAAGTCGCTCTCTCTCTCTAGGGTTCGTCCCTTGGGTGTTTGGGATCCAAAACCCAGCTCTCCTCTTCTTTTGTTCGGAATTTGGCTTAAAACCAGGAAATCCCGACTCACACGGGCAGGGTGCACGGCCGTGCATATCACCATTCTGGCCGTGCAATTCAAAACGCAGCGTGTCATTTAGTCGAACTTCAGCCCTCTCGCACGGCCAGGGTGCACGGCCGTGCGAGCTTCAGGGGTTGCCCGTGCGTGTCCTCGGCATAAGGCGCACGGCCATATTGCTCACGTGCACGGCCGTACAGCCTCCCTGGTCTGCCCGTGCAGCTCCCCAAAAACCTCGCCATTCGTCCGTTCTTCGTCCAATCGACCCCAGACTCGCTCCTAAGCCTTCATTCACGTACTAGGACCTGAAACATCACAAACAAGCACAACCTAGCATGAAATCGGCCTAAAACACGAGAATCAACACCTCAAACGGTGTAAGAATGGGGGTAAAAACATGTGTAAATGACGGTCTATCAAACTCCCCCACACTTAACCGTTTGCTTGTCCCCAAGAAAACCTAACTCAAACCAATGCAACTCTCCAGACCTCTATAGCAACAAACAACCCAGATCGTAGGTAGAGGACTTCCTAGATCATTTAGCAGCTTACGAGGTCAACCGACGCACAAGTCATCTCATAACTTCTTCGGCGAGTCGGCATCATGGCAAATAGTGAACAGAGGACAAATGAATTGTGGATGAAGAGATTCTCAAAAACAAAGGATCATGGACTCACATTTTTCAAGGTGCTCTATTTTCTTCTTGAAGATGGTTGAGACCCCTTTTTTTTCTGTTTTGCTTGTTTTCTGATATTTTTCTTTTCTTTTCTTTTTCAAGGGTCCCAACCTGCTCTTACCGGCCATGCCAGGAGCGGATGTCTCGAGCCTCGTGCGGGGGAAAGACATGTAAGGGGGCTGGAGGTAGTAGGTGGGAATTGGGAACGAATTCCCGTCTCCCCTTACACACTTTCGCCCTATTCGCACGGGAGACGTTTATTTTGAAGCACATTTTCGAGCACCTGTTATTTTCAAAACATGATACAAGAGTCCATGACAGGTAGAAAATCCACAACACCACACAATTCAAGGGTCCTAAGATCACTAATTCACTCAATCAACCAACTTTATATCTAGAAGAAATGAGACTTCTTAAATGCATCAACATCCTCCATAGTGCTACACTACCTCCCTAGGTTGCATATTACTGTAAAGACTGTCAATTCAAAGCATACTGAGCAGGCAATTGCATGGAACACGTACTTGGAGCCCTCAAATTTAAAAATTTGGGCAGTGAACTAGGCTCCAAGCACACAAACAGCCAAACATTCACCCGCATACATAATCGAACACCCCCCCCCACACTTAAGCACGACATTGTCCTCAATGGAGGAAAGATAAGGAGGGTAGAACGAAGTTACCAGATCAAGGGTGAATGATGATGTACGGGTCAGGCAGTGCATTCTAGGAAGAGAGAGTAATCAGAACACAAACACCACACAAAATCTCACAAAGGTTGAGTTATTGACTCTAAAATCAAATAACAAAACTGACTCAACCGAGGAGAAAAAGAGAAAGAAATGCAAACCGACTGGTTGGGTTGCCTCCCAACAAGCGCTTCTTTCACGTCGTGAGCCGGACGATGGCTCCTAAGTTTCGGTCCATGCTAGAACCTCCTTGAAGTTGAGGTTCTCGTCGATGAGGTGGAGTCTCAAGTCACGAGCATGTGGTGTGGCAGGTGATGAAGGCTCATGTACTTGATGCAGATGAAGTCTCCACCCTCGAGACCTCTTTTTCTCTTCTCTCGTCTCATTGCCCCAAACCAGATATGACAGCATCGATTGGCCACCATCGCGTCCACCAAGAGGGACCGATGTCGATGTGGCCTTGGTCTGGCAAAGAGAGACTGCAAATGGGTCCTTGCCAAGCAGCTCCTCGAAGTTTGGTGGAGATATTACATGTAACTCATGGCCGGTGCAGGCCTCTTCCACCTCAGCTTCATCCTCAGCTTGGACACCAATTGCTTCCTCAACCCCCCTTCCTTCTTCAAAATGTGGTCTCTCCCTTGGGAAAAGATCAAGAACCACCTCTTCTTTTCTTTCTTCCTCATCATCCACAACTTCCTTCCTCATCCTTGGTCGCTCTTCTTCTTCTAGAACAGATTGGAGAGCAAGTCGCCAAGCAATTTCTTCAATGGGATCATCTTGCATCTCCTCGCACGGGCCCAGCATGTTAGAGCATAAATGAGGAAAGGTGTGGTCGCTCCCATAGCCTTTGTCATCCTCCACCTCTTCTAGCGTGGTAGCAGAAAGGTGATCTTGAGCAAGATGTGAGCAAACTTGTTTCACCCACTCTGTTTGCTTTGCTGAGCGCTGAACAGTCTCCTCCATATCATGGAGAAATGAGGGATCGGAAGTGGCAAGGGCTTTGATTTGAAGATCCATCTTGGAGCATGATTTCTCAGTGTCTCGAGCAAACTGCTCCACGAGAAGCCTTAATTGTTTGTTCGGATCTTCCAGTGAAGTGTAGCATGGCTCTGCAGAGTGGGCCGTGAAGGCCGCCATGGGTAACTCCAGCTCCGACGGCCCTTCTGGTTGTGGGAGAAAGTCTTCTTGGTAATGAGGTTGTTCTTGATATGCCCAGGGGTCTGGTTGTTCTCCGTAGAAAGGGGGTTGGTACTGGAACCTGAATCCATCGTCTTCTCCTCCTTGATTGCTCCAGGGAGTCTCGGGGTAATAGCACTCGGGTGGTGGTGGATACCCCCAATGGTTGGAGAAGCCATGAGGATCCATGATTCAGATCTGCACCAACAAAAACAAAAACACCCAAGTGAAAAGCAAGGGTGGAAAAGAAAAGAAAAACGCTAAAGTAACAAACTTCTGCCTTTCCTAATAATCTAGAAAGTCCCCGGCAACGGCGCCAAAAACTTGATGCTCTAAAACACAACACCTAACAATGGCCAAGTGTAACCAATGAAAGGGACTGCAGTATAGTGGCACAAGTAATAAATATCGAATCCACGGGTCTCTAGAGTTACTATTACTCAGCTTCAGTTCATTATCTAGCAAACTAGATTAAGGATTGATTAACTAAACTACTCTACTAACTAAACTAAGTAAAACTACTAATTACAGTTTGGGAACTCACTTAGGTATGATTCCCCTAGCTCCTCAATTAGGTCCAAGTTGTAATTCCTTTTGGTTGATTTACTGTTGATTAAAGTGCGGAAGATCCGACAGTAGCTTGGAATCTCTTAAGCTGACCAAGCCCTCTCAGTCTAACTATCCGGCAGACGACTAGTCTTCACCGGGATAGAAAGCTGAAGCAATAAGCACAGAACTCCACTACTGGAATTGGATTCCAGTACAAAGCAGTAAACTGGCTAACTCTCGTATAGCCAATCTCCTACTATCGAGTGATGAGACTCTAGCAACCTAATCAGATTCTATCTATCTCAGATTGCAGCAGGAATCAGGAAAAGTTGATCAGACTTCAATTGACTCAATAAACATGCATCATTCGATTATAATCAAACAATATAACATCCAAAACTTCATACAAGAAAGATCCTAACTCATGGAACTAAGGTTCCTCAAAACCTAAGTGAAGGGAAGTTACTCCATAGAGAAGAGAGAGACTGCAGAAATCTGATCTAGATCTTCAATCTCCATCTCCAAGCTTGATTCCCGAGCTCCAATGGCGAAGAAATCCTCCAAAATAGCTCCAAGAATGTTCCCAAGTCGCTCTCTCTCTCTAGGGTTCGTCCCTTGGGTGTTTGGGATCCAAAACCCAGCTCTCCTCTTCTTTTGTTCGGAATTTGGCTTAAAACCAGGAAATCCCGACTCACACGGGCAGGGTGCACGGCCGTGCATATCACCATTCTGGCCGTGCAATTCAAAACGCAGCGTGTCATTTAGTCGAACTTCAGCCCTCTCGCACGGCCAGGGTGCACGGCCGTGCGAGCTTCAGGGGTTGCCCGTGCGTGTCCTCGGCATAAGGCGCACGGCCATATTGCTCACGTGCACGGCCGTGCAGCCTCCCTGGTCTGCCCGTGCAGCTCCCCAAAAACCTCGCCATTCGTCCGTTCTTCGTCCAATCGACCCCAGACTCGCTCCTAAGCCTTCATTCACGTACTAGGACCTGAAACATCACAAACAAGCACAACCTAGCGTGAAATCGGCCTAAAACACGAGAATCAACACCTCAAACGGTGTAAGAATGGGGGTAAAAACATGTGTAAATGACGGTCTATCAGAAGCCAAGCAAGAGGGTCCGGGAAAGGCCCATCGAGCCCGAAGTCACGCCATATCCCGGGTGGAAACTGCCGCCTCCATTGGTTGCTCCCCAAGGTGTCGGCCTGAGATCCCCCCAAGGTGGCGGCCCGAGTTCTCCCCAAGTTGGCTTCCCGAGTTCTCCCCAAGTTGGCGGCCCGAGTTCTCCCCAAGTTGCCGGCCCGAGTTCCACCCAAACTCCCCACCAAGGCTCGTACTACGATCCCCGCTCGACCTACCATCAAACCCCTCAGAGTCCCACCCCGATCTCATACAACGATCCCCGCCATGGAGCATACTACGATTACCGCCCGATCTACCCCCCATCTCCCCGCCAAGGAGGTTACTACGATTACCGCCCGGTCTACCCCCCATCTCCCCGCCATACATCATCGGGTACTTGGCATGATGGTTCCTCCGCGACGGCACACCACGATTTTACGCCATGGACTCGCCCTCATCAGCAGTGTCCTCCTACTACTCACCGTACTTCCGTGGATGTCCCCCGCTCGACCCCGGAAGTGTCGATTCCCCGCCGACACAGCATCGACGAGCGCCAAAATACCTCGGCCCGAGTTCGAAACTTGCCACCGCAACCACATGTTGTTACTCCCGTCGGTCGTCGTACAAGGAGCAAGAAAACTGTGGGTTCCGGTGAAGCTCGTGGACTTCCTTGAGTTATATTTGAGAGTTGAATTTAATTTATATGTAATTTGAACTATTCCTATTATCTTAGTTTATCGAATTGATTGTTGTTTCAATTTGGTTTTATTTATATCCCCTTGGAACTATGCCTTTTATCTTTATGTAATCCCAATTAGCTCAATTAGAAGAGATTGGATTGAAAATTCTGTGTTCTAACCCAAATTCGAGCCAATGAACGATAAAATCAACAATACACAATACACATTTCGTTCAATCAACAATACACAATTACTTGCAAAGTAAGAGTCTCAACTAGCTTGAAAAAAAAATGATAAAAGCAAACTATGTCGCATTAGCTGATTCCGGCACATCAGGACCCGGATTTTGCGGACCAATCGGGCCTGGACATCTTCGTTTATCATGTCCTGGAACTTTGCATATTGAACATTGTCTTGGGCCTCGTGGTGGTCTTCCACTTTGATCCATTTCGTTCATTCTCTTTTTCCTCGGGCGACCCGGTTCACGCCTCTGTCCGAACGGCGGGATGATCAATTTTCCTTCGTACATCGGCCAATAAACTTCATCATGCAATGCACGGAAAATCCGTCCATAGGTGTTTTTGAGTGAGTCGATATTGAAGAACGGACTAACAAAGTGACGGGGGTTTTTGCTCCTGTTTTTAATTACGGCCATTGCATGAGAACAAGGCCACCCTCTCCCTTGATACTTCTGGCATGAGCACTCACCAACTTTTGTCCTGAAATTGACCAAAACTTCATGGCGGTGGCCCCCCCGTCTACCATCCTCCCGATGCCCGGTCGTCACGCTATACTCGCCATTTGCCTGATTCATAACGGTTACACTATGTCGACTGCTCTTGCGATTGTCATTCTCCATTACTTCCATGACTTCATAGGCATGGACCTTACCCTGTGCCTCGTTCGTCCTTGCCCAGTGGAGTCGGTTGACGAACCATGCATTCGTTTTCCAAAAAGTCATCTCCACAATGGCAGAGATTGGCAGTGCACGAACGACCTTGTAGACAGAGTTGATACTCTCACCTGAGTTCGTTGTGGCAATACCCCATCTTGTCCCTCCATCTTTATGAAATGTCCACATGGATAGGTCATGTCCATCCAGCCACTGTGCCCCTTCAGGGCATAACTCGCGCAACTTCTGCATCTTCTCCAGGAATTTTTTCTCTTGGTAGGCAACCGCTGAGGAAGACACAGAAAAGTAGTATGTTAGTCAATTTTCGGCAATTTTACAAATTCGAACAGCCCGGAGTTACTCTCATTAGACTCTTAGGAGAGGTATACATCTCCTTAGAAACACAACCTGTTTGACAGAAAAAGGGGGGATCCGAAGATCGCTTAAAAGACGGCGGCCAGAGCTTTCTGCTTTCCATGCAACGCCTTCTTATAGTTAATCATATAACCATAACGACTTGCAATGTCAGCGATTATGACTTTCACCTTTAGGTCCGGCTCTTGCTCAATTAGATGCTTGATAGCCGCAGCAACCACCCTGGATTTCAACTGTCGATGGCCTTGGGAAGTTATGGATGACACACATGTGTGTGTTCACCGCACAAGATATGACCCAGTGGCTGTGTCTCTTGCTGTTGATGGCCCGAATCCTAACATTGCACCTCTCGTGATGATTACGGCATCTGACTATGAGCCTTTTAGTGTTGGAATGAGTTGTGTGCCATTCAAAATGTCGGGTCATTGCTTCTGTCTCAATGGCGTGACGCACCTCCTTCTTCGAGCCAAATTGTTGGCCCTTCATAAACCCAGTGAGTGGACCCCATATTGGGACCTCTGGCGGCTCCATGTCGTTGTCGACCATCCAATTGTCGTCTGGAATGTGATTGTAATAGGGGACTGGTACATGGTCACGAGCCCCCTCATCATCATTAGCTGAGTCTGACTCTGGTCCTGAATCATCGGCACCTTCAAGAGGGTCGGAGCTGTCTGCACTGATGTTGTTCTCTCCTTCTTCATCGGAGGGGTCACTGACTGGTGCTGGCATGACATCCTCCATCTGATCCAGCTCATGAAAGGCACCTTCATCAGCTCCATAATGGTAGTTGTGAAAACTACCGCTGCCTGAGTGGAAGTTGTACTGAGGTTGGTTGGGCCGGTCCGGTCCGGTTGAACTTCTTCTTCATATGATTGATGATGACCTTCACTTTGCTCTTGGTACTAAAAATATGAATGAGGATCATGGTAACTTTGGTAGGGATGATCGCCATATAATTCACCTCCACCATGGATACCAGATGTTTGACCATGTACAGAATGACCTCCAACGCCTACGACCGGCTCGGTGTCAACGAACATCTCGGCTTTGGAAAGATTGTTGGACCTCATGAATTCGAGCATGGCGTCTACCTCATCCTGAGTGGTTATGAGATATTCCTCATGCCACAATGACCCACTTTCTCTGTTTGGATATCGGTACACCATACGATCAACTCTTCTCGTGCCATCCATGCAAGTAACGTTAGTGCACATTTGATGGAGGTCTTCAAGCAGCGGTCTGGTAGCGACCTTTATCTTCTGAAAATTGCCACCTACGTAGGTGACCCCCTTTCCGGTCTCTTCCGTGTAACCATTCCACCGTAAGCCAAGCGTGAACTTTTGGAATGCCATCTGCGATAAAACCGTAGTTCAGTTAATATCATAAAAATAAAAAATAAATAAAAATTAATACTAAATCAACTTACGAGTTAACGTTAATCGCAAAACTACTAAAGAAATATAGAGCTACAACAGAAAATTGAAAAGGGAAGGGAGAAGGAGAGGTGTGAAGAGAAGTGGTTGTCCGGGAGGCCTTATATAAAACAGTAGTTCAGTTAATATCATAAAAATCAAAAATCAAAAATAACAATAAAAAGTAATACTAAATCAACTTACGAGTTAACGTTAATCGCAAAATTACTAAAGAAATATAGAACTACAACAGAAAATTGAAAAGGGAAGGGAGAAGGAGAGGTGTGAAGAGAAGTGGTTGTCCGGGAGGCCTTTTATAGGCAAAATCACTTATGAAAACCGCACCTTAGAGGTGCGATTTTCGTCTGCCATGCAGGCCCATGCAGACCCACGTCTGTTACGTCTGCATGGCATGTCGGAAATTGATTGACCAAAACCGCACCTTCAAGGTGCGGTTTATATGGCAAAATCGCATCCTCATGGTGCGATTTTGTTTGGCAGAAACAAATCGCACCTTTATGATGCGGTTTTAATAGGTCAGACCTAAAATCGCACCTCGTCCATGCGATTTCAGTAGGTCAGACCTAAATCGCTTGGCTAAAGTGCGATTTGAGTCCAGATAATTGGAACGCACCTTACCAGTGCGATCTATTTGTAAAACGCACCCTTAGGGTGCGATTTAAATATAAAACGCATCTACAAGGTGCGTTCTATTAAAAAGGGTGCTATTAGTGTAAATTTTTACGGATGGGTGCTATTTTTGTAATTTTTTTTAAAGGTGCTATTTCTGGAAAAATCCCTAACTTTGCTATTGGTTGCTGATTTTGATGATTGAAAAAGTAGGGAGTGGGTGTGCGGTGGAGGCTACGAGCACGGCGGCGGGGACCAGCTGCTGCACCTTTACTTTTGATAATTATAATTTTATTTTTATTTATTTTATGGTAATAAGTAGGACATTAAAACAGATTAAATTTTATTTATTATTTTTAATTGCCACATCACTAAGTTAACGGTCAACTTTGAGAGTTGACTATCACATCAAACAAAATTAACGGAATTGGACGGAGAGTGACCAAACGTGAACGGTTTCAATATACTGAAGTATCACCAATGGATTTAAATATTTTGAGTGACCAAACTTAAACGTTTTTTGTAATCTCAGTGACCAACCATGCCATTAACCCAAAACTTGATGCCACTATACTGCTTGCTTTCATGTTTTTACTGCACTTGGCATAGACTAAGTTTCAGTTTTAGCATATTAAGTTTTTGGCAAAATTGTTAGGACCTTTCATAGAGTATTAGAAAATGATAAATTCTGTTACTTTAGCTTTTGCTTTTGTTGACTTTCACACCTTTGATTTTCACAGTTGTACAATCAGGAAATGCCTCCATCCATGAAACATTAACCAATGCTCAATCCAGTCTTTTTTGCTATTGGTCTCTGCTGTTGGTTGTTCGTCCAAATGAAAAGAGACCCAACTGTTTGATAATCTTCTAGTTCTACATTGTTAATCCCTTCTCTAAAATACTCCATAAGAGAATTAGGTACGTGATGATGAGAAGTTTATGCAGGTGTTAGGACTGTGTAACAATCACCTCCCACGATCCAGAGATGGTTATAAACTCTTAACTACTTTATCTCTGTCCACTTCCTTACACGCCCCTTCAAACGAAAGCCGACTCATGGGCTTAAAGTTTGCACAGGTCCGCCATACCATCATATGCTTGAAAGACAATGGTTAATATTGAGGGTCGTGAGGACTAGAACACGTGAACTCAAGAACAAACCAGCTCTGATACCATGTCATAAACCAGTTGGTCCCAATAACTAAATGACATAGGTTCAACGTCTCTCATCTCATCATTTGAATCATATAGTGCCGTTAAGAGGCAGTACTCACCATTTGGCCCTTGACCTACCGAGTGCACAAATAATTTCTCCCGCTAATAGGAAACCATGCTTTAGTGTCATTTCCAACTTTCTGAAATTTTGCACCAGAAGGAAGTTGTTGATTTCCTGCCAATTTCGCAAAGGTAATGTTTATACCTCCAATTTGCCAAGTGTGAGACACTGCTTGCTTCCTTAACTGGCTCTATAACATTACTTGGAGTCGCTTCATCTAATCCCAAATAGATGAACTTTCGGTTACAACTTTAGTATTCTTCGCCAAGCCTAGGAGTAAGAAAATAGTAAAATACTGGAAATTTCTAATTTTAATCTCTTCCCACTTAAGTCAATAATTTCAAAAGGAAAAGGTTCTTAATCAACATATAAATGGGAGTTGAAGAGGGAGAACGTTTTTGGTAAAGGGGGAAAAGGTCAAAAATTTCCATTTGATTTTGTGGTTGGGGGCATTGGAAAACCCAAAGCAAGTATATGGGTTTCCTCAACTTTTGTTGGCATTTGCTCCTGAAAATTAAACCAACCCCCACTTATATAATCACTTTTAGAATAGAGAAAAAAGGGTATGAAAGCTTGAGAATTCTTGTACAAAAACCAATACGCACGCACCAACCCCACTCTTCTATAACTAGTCCTAATTTCCACACTTAAATTTGCTAAAAATTGAGCACATCTTTGGTGAGTTGAAAGTGGCCAAAAGCTCTCTCTCTCTTTCTCCCCAACTCAAAATCAAAGTTGTCAATTTGGTTTAGTCCCTTGGTCCAATCAAGAAAGTGAGTAGTGTTAATGGTTTGATCGTTATAGTATGGTTTAACTTGAATATAAAAAAAAGGCATTATATTTTTCACACATTTATAAATTATATAAAATATCATATAATGTATGAGTTCGTACTAGGATCCAACGTATAGTGAATATTCAAACATACTCTTATAACATCAACATTCAAATGTTCGATTTAGATTTTCAAAGGATCAAGCAAAAGAAGAAAAAAAACGGGACAAATCAAAAGAACCTCCGACTAAGACCTTACTGTGTGTTGACCTGCGGGTGTGATGCCCATTTTTTTTGCCGATTCTGCGTCAAAATGGATCAACCGACAAATCGACCAGCGAGCTGGCTCAAAACAGCTGGGGGAATTAATGGGTGGGGTGGAGGTGCATTGACATGGGTGAAGTTAAATATACTTATAGATAGTTGTGAGTTTCTTAGAGTCAAAAGCTCCAAATTCAGTGAAAACTCGAAGAAGTTAAATAAATGAACAAAAAAAAAAAAAACTCCCCCTCGGTTGGAACCCATTACACACAACCAAACTATTGTTGTCTGTGGTTTGGTGCCCTTTGACCTAGGGTTTGAGACCCAAACGTGCAACCAAAGTTTTTGAAACCGGAAAATATTGATGGCTGGCTATTGGGTCAAACTCCTCCAAGCCCAAGACGTGTTACCATTAACATTACACACAAACCACCCCCTCCTCTTTCTAAGCGTAAATCCAACAATCACTAAACACAAAAACCAAATAACATTAATAATGTTGGCTATTACTCATTAATGATCTCCCCTCTCCATTCACAACCCCAATCAATTTTAGGTGAACGGTCATTTTAGAAATCAAATATATTGTAGTTTTTTTTTATCAAGAATCAAAATATATTGTTTCAACTACATTGTTCCATTATGAGCACTTTTATCGCCAGATTTTTTTTTTTTACACAAACTCCTCAATTTCAACTTAAAATGGGAATTGGCAAGTAAAAATATGTTGTAGAAAATCATGCATCTACGGTAGAAAATCTTGTGATCAATGTGTAGACAAATTATGCACACAAAAGTTTGTACATATTGAATAGAAAATTTATGTACGAAAATTTGTACACATGAAAATTCTATACGCCAACAGATTATTTCTACATTTACTGACTAAATATATTTGGGTGTAGTAACATCGAAGTCATTGTACATAAAAATTATGTACATGTTCTACAGAAATAAATTTGTTCATGTTCAAAAGAAAAATTGTAGCGGTACAATTTTTATGAAATATGTATAGAAGTATGGATATTGATTTTTTTCTACAAAATGTATATTAAAGTGGATGTCATCTTATAGATACTAATAAATTTAAATTTTTTAAAAATATATTTGACATTCAAGTTAAAATGAAAGAGATATAGTTGGTTAAGAATTAAAGGTGAAAAATAAATTTGAAAGAAAATAAAAACAAAGAGACGTAAGATATTCATGTAGTTTGATGTATTACGTATTTATCCATTCTTATAGAAAGTAGGGGGAAATGAGAGGAGCTCTCTCCTCTCTCATCGAATTTTTTCGGGCGGCTGCTCTTCTGCCTCTGTTAGAGCGTTGTCGATCGGTCGGTCAGATCCTCTTTCACTTCTTCGAGATGGTGCTCGACGTTACCCTAGCAAATCTGGGGTTGAAGGGACTATAGTGGATCAATTTACCTCGTGCCGATGGAGAAGACCGACGTGGTGCACTCCCGATGTCCATTGTCTGGGAAACGAAAAGGAGACAATAATCAGACCTTTCGTCAATGCTGTGATCACAAATATGGGATCCGTAAACGTAAAGTCGAGAATCCCCCTGTGATTGGGCTCACACATGATTGCCCCCAGTTTAAACGCTTGCGGAGTTCGAAACAACAAGCATGGAGATTTCAATTGCCTTCGTCTAGTGAAATGGAGTGTAAGGAACGGGTTGATCCTGCTCCTACGTCCATTCCGTCTAATAATCTCGTTAAGGATGTAGATGTCCTAGGCGCCTCGCATAAGTCAGACCTTAGATCCCGAAATGGGGTGAGTTCTTTCTACCAGTTTATCGAGGGAAAGATGTCGGACAAACTTGCCCTGCTCCGGCCGACGGTGTTTTGCCGACGCCGAAACGTCTGCAGACGCGTGGTCCGGACGATAAACTGAATCCTTGCAGGTTTAACCACTTCCGAGATTTTCGTACCGATCTTGCTGATTTTCCATCACAGCGTATCCCTAAACGGTGGGTAAAATCTGATAAATTCTTTTTTAATAACTCTCCCAGAATCCCAGTCCAAGTGTCATCGGCTGCCGTTGATAATTCAAGGCTTTGCCTTCTATTTAAATTGTTACCATAGTCCAAATATTCTCCTACGCAATCAACGAGAGAAAATACTAGTGGTACAAAGAAGTGCATACATCCAACAACAACAACTCTACTACTCTGGTACATGGGAGATCTTTCATGCTGATATTATTCTTTTCCTCTGGTTGGAAGCTTCACATGTTCGCAAGATCTCTTTCATTTTCTCTAGCTTCCCCTGGTCGGCCTTTGGGCATTCTGGTGTTGATCTGAATATTGGTGACCATGATACTTTGCCTCTTTTGCAGCCGGGAACCATGTCGCACGTCACCAACGATCAGGTTGTTCAATTTTCACTTGAGGAGATCCAATCGGACAAGGTCCACAACTCCAGGAAACTACTCGAATACCTTCCAAGCGTATGTTATAACTGTGGTCGGGTTGGCCACTCGCGCCAGGCCTTCTCGTTTGACCCTCCTTTTAGGATAGAGCGATTTGGCCCTCACATGTCAACGAAGAAGATGGGAAGGAAGATATATGATGAGGAGGAAGGTGCCCAATTTTTTCTAGGCATCCAAAATCAGTTTGGATTAATACTGAAGTTCAGGGAAGTAAAGATGCATCTACTCGGCTGCATCATGGCTCGGGCGATGTGATCAGGCGTGATCTGGGGGCGGCAAAGCATCCCTCGATTGAAGATAGCCCATTGTGGATGGAATCCTCTACGCATCCGTTCACGACGACTGGACCGAGGAATCCCCAGGGGAGGAACCCCTTTCGCTTCCCGGTTACTAAAGCTCCCAAACTTTTCATGGGGAGGCAAAATCGACGAGGTAAACCGAAGAAAGGTGATGTAATTGCCCCTTTGGGGGTAGGTCAGCATCATAGGCCTATAAGTGAGTCTTGGAACCAGGGGATACTAGCTTTAGCGATCCTTTAGTCCCGGTCACAGTACGTGCTCGTGACGATCAACCCACTAGCGTTCACCGTAGAACGATGTTGACACAACATGCTGATGAGAAGCAGATGGCACATCAGCGGCGTCTCATTTTGGAGGAGGAATTGGAAGATGAATTCAGTGTACGTGATACCTCCATTCCCTTACAGGCATGTAATCAGGAAGATGTTGTCCAACAACCCTCCAAGGTGCGAGGGACAATCCCACTGCGGCTACAATGATCCCACGAAAACCAGCTGCTAATAAAAAGAAAAATGGATCTAAGAAAGGGGATCATTCTCCTCACACTAGAAGTATTGTGCCCACTGCCACGAGGCAACGTAAGCTGTGAACTCTAGCTACTAAGACTCTGAGCTCCAAGAAAAAAGTGGGTGCTCGATCTGACCAAATTTGCAAAATGGCCAAGGGCAGCGACCGTGGGGTGTCCTCAGGCTTGGAGGAAGCGATTGGTGAGAACTTGGAATCTGTTGCACCTTCCTTGGCTGATCCGATGAGATCAAAGTCAGCAAAGATGTCCCCGACACTGGTGGACTCGGAGGAATCTTTGTCGGGTTGACACGCCAAAACACAACACCAATCTGCGACCAAGTGTAATCGCAGACCGGGAATGCAGTAACAGGCAAGTTATATTATCAACCCGGGGTCTAGGTCTACTGCTTACTCAGTGATTCTCTATTATCTAGCCAACTAAAGTAAGTGATTGTTGTTTAAAAGCAGAAATAAAGCAGGAATTGATACGGTTTTCTCAAGCAGGAAAGAGACACTCGAGAATGAGTCCCCCTAGCTCCTTAGTTAGGTTTCAATTGTATTTCCCTGGGTTGATTTACTGTTGATTAGACTACGGAAGATCCGACAGTAGCTTGGAATCTCTTAAGCTGACCAAGCTCTCTCAGTCTATCTACCCGGCAGACGACTAGTCTTCACTGGGATAGAAAGCTGAAGCAGTAAGAACAGAACTCCACTACTGGAATTGGATTCCAGTACAAAGCAGTAAACTGGCTAACTCTCGTATAGCCAATCTCCTACTACCGAATGATGAGACTCTGGCAACCTAATCAGATTCTATCTATCTCAGATTGCAGCAGGAATCAGGAAAAGTTGATCAGACTTCAATTGACTCAATAAATATGCATCATTCGATTAAAATCAAACAGTAATATCATCCCAAGTCATTACAATCAAATCCCTAACACATAGAACTAGGGTTCTTCATCCCCAAGTGAGAGAGGGGTTCTACTCCATAGAGAGAGAGAGGAAAACAAGATACAAAGTAGTCATACTCATAAAGATGAGGAAAATCTGCTCTGGGATGATGATTTCCACTCCTATGACGATCTCCAAGCTTGATTTGATGAAACGCAGCTCCAAGATAGCTTCTAGGATGTGTTCTTCGTCCTTTCTCTCTCTAGGGCTCTGTTTTTGCTCAAAAAGTCTGATTCTCTCTCTTGCAGCCCGGAATTGGGTTAAAACCAGGAATTCCCGACTCACACGGGCAGGGCCACACGGCCGTGTGGCATACCCAGTTGCCCGTGTGAGTCAAAACGCTGCGTTCCAATTAGTTCGATCTTCAGGCTTCTCACACGGCCAGGGTCGCACGGCCGTGTGTGACTTCCATCTGCCCGTGTTTGCTCTCGCACAATCTCACACGGCCAGACCACTCCTTCACACGACCGTGTGGATATCAGGGCAAGCCGTGTTTGCTCTCGCACAATCTCACACGGCCACAAATATGAGTTGCACGGCCGTGTGAGTTGTGGGTGTGCCCGTGTGGCCTCCTTTTTGACTTGCCTCGCGCCCGATCTTCGTCCAATCGACCCCAAACTCGCTCCCAAACCTCCATTCACGTACTAGGACCTGAAATATCACAAACATACACAACCTAGCGTGAAATCGGCCTAAAACACGAGAAACCACATCTCAAACGGTGTAAGAACAGGGGTAAAAACATGTGTAATTAACGGTCTATCAAACTCCCCCACACTTAACCGTTTGCTTGTCCCCAAGCAAACCAAGTCAGACACAAGGTAAGCTCACATATTTCAATCAATCAACATTGGGGACAAGTCATAAAGGCACAGAACACGTGAATCGTACTGGTTTTTGAACATCAATACCTGACCAACTTCAATAGCAACCTTGACAACCACCACCAAGGACATTCGAGTGCAGCAAAATCGAGTAAAGGAAGAGTCTCCCTTCTGTTCACCAACCAACCTAGACTTGACTCAACCACTTACTCAAAACAGTCAACTCATGCATCCAACTCAAGACATTGGAATAGAGACCGAGCAATCTAGGTCCTCACCGGGGTACAAGAGTATATAGAATATGAAAAATGAAACACTCACTCTCGACCAGTGGGGTCAGGACAATTTGATGCGAAAAATGCGCATGTTATTTCTCTCAATCCCTAACATCTCTTCACCATGATGGCAGCCTCTAAATGCTAGAGTTCACATATGGGGTGTCACCACTAACTAATCAGGAGGTCTTAGACACAGGTTCAAATGACTGGCTAGGGTCTTGGACATGGGGAAAAGGCCTTTTAGGTGGTGGAAGTATTCATAGCACAAGGTTCCACATTTCCAAACCCAAACAATCACAGTCAAACAGACCGGTATTTCCTTTCTGCTATTCTTCATTACTCAATATCTCAAGAGCACAAGAGCGAAGGAGGTATAAATGTCAGCATTTCCAAGCCAGACTGCTAAGAAACACTACTTACTGGGCATTATTCAGATTTTTTGTAGTGGCTCTCTTTGCTTTCAATTTTTCTTTGTTTTTCTTTCATTTCCTTTTCACTTCTTAAGAGAGCCACCATTTCTGCATATATTTCAAACACATGCCCAGCTCAACTTTTAAGCACTACCTCCAACACTCACATCAAATTTAGCAGAAACAGCAGAGAATATGTAAAAACCACTCTGTGGAACCTTCTAAAAGATGCAAAAGGGTGATTTTTTTCATTTCAGACCAAAAGAAAGGATAACACACGGCTCAAAAGGGCTGACTAGGGGATATGACACATCAGGACAGTCAAATTTGGTCGTGGGCTAATCCTATGCCCCCATCATCTTAGCTAGTGACAACGTGAATGCTACACATCATGGAAGAGGGATCTATCGCACAAGAAAGAAACGAGCAGGCTCAAATCTCACATGGCTACCTACATGCTCTATCTCACATTCTGGTACCCTGAACTAGATGCATAAAAGACTGTCAAGAACAAGTAATCAATCCAAGTCACAGTTGGTAAGCAAACAGTTGGAAAACTGAACCCCTACACAACTCTACTGCACATCTTAGTCCTCATCATAGGTTGTCCTAGTCACAATCAAGCTGTCATGCATCAATCCGAAAATCATTCAATTCATCAATCAAAACACAGTGCCAATATGATCAAACAGCAGTACTTGGAGCCCTCAAATCTCGAGATTTGGACAGTGGACTAGGCTCCAAGCACACATATATACATTCCAACCGATACAAAGCACCCCCCCACACTTAAGCACGACATTGTCCTCAATGGAGCAGAGGAATAGAGAAGGGGAACGATGTTACCAGATTGAAACTGCTGGGGGACTGGAAGTGGACCAGTCAGCGAGAAACAAACGAGAAGATGGACAGTTCTGCACGAATCAAACACCAAGAACACACTAGCACACGTTGTGTTAGGGATAAGTGTTAGCCCAGACGGCTACAGCAAAAACAATCCACAAAATAAAAAAACAAAAACAAAAACAAACGACACTAAGTTCAAGCTCCTCACACATGGAGCAAACACACACAAGTCTAAAACGAAAAACAAAACACACTGAGAGGGGCAACGAGTACAGCCTACTCGTCGCCGAGGTTGTCCAAATCGAAGACGATGTCGTTCATGAAGGCGTCACCACCATCAGCACCATCATCACCATCCGCTGGGGGAGGTGGAAGTGGAGAGTCCTCCCAGGGAGTCCTCCAGACTGGCTGCTCGCCCGGTAGCAGCTGGAGCAGATGCCCCTGTACCTCCTGCATGCGCCGAGAGCGGCGCCTCTCCCGCTCGATGTGTGCGAGAGTCACTCCCTGCTGGGTCTGGAGCTGGTCCAATCTCTCATCGTAAACAGCCATCCTCTGGTGGTACTCGGCCTGGTGTGCCGCGTACTGCTGCTGGAACTGCATCTGATGGTCGAGGATCTGCTGGTTCTGGAGACGCAGCTGCTCGAACTGGGAGGTGAAGTAATCCTGCCTTGGGAAACTGGAGCTGCCACCCCCGTACTCGAAGGTGGTGGGGCGGGCGGCAGCAGTGTCATCCACGTCCTCGAGCTGGACCTCCTCATCAGCTGCACCCTTGGGAGCCTCCTGCTGGACCGCCTCCGGGATCTGAGGTTGAGGAAACCCCTCGATCCACATGACACCTCGCTCTTCTCGAAGCAGGAGCATTTTGGTGAGCGTAACCCGGCCAAAGGGAGTGGTCTCTCCCTGCTCTGTGCACCCCTGCAGGGATATCTGGAAGTACTCTGCCAGGCAGGTGATGAGAGGAGTGCAGTGAAGTTTCTTCAGCTCAGAAGCACTCTTCTCGAAGGTCCTCGCCACCACTGAGCCCAAGTGTAGGGGATGATCCCTCTGGCGCATGGACTGGATGAAGTATAGGGATCTCTTGGTGATGACGCTGGCACTGTCTGAGGCTGGGGTGTAAGACTTGGCCAGCATGTGATGGAGGAGACATTTTCGAGCTGCAATGTGGTGGCCTTCGTCTTCCCCGCCTTGAAGGGAAGCTGACGTGGCCGAACGAGGTTGAAGTACAGCCTCCCGAAGTCCACCCCTGCTGGCTCGGCGATCTCAGTGATGAAGGTCCTGTCATTGACCAGGTTGAGGCCGAGGGCGTCCGCCAGCTCGTCGTAGCTCATGGACCGTGGTTCACCGCCGAGTCGGAACTGGACAGCAGCTTCGTCCTTCCAATCGTCCGTGGCTGCGTGCTTGAAGGTAGTGTAGAATTCAAGCACGAGCTCATAGTAAACCTTCGCGCGAATGCTGAGTAGGCGGCGCCAGTAGCGGTTGGTGACAACCGGGGAGAGGTGCTCGTAGCAGTTCAGCTTCTCCAATTCGCGCTTCGACCAGTAATGATGCTGCCCAAACTTGCAGGCCAGGACGTTCTGAAAACGATCCCGGTGGGGCCCCCTTCTCAAATCCTGAACAAACTGGTGTCGGAGGTTGGGCTTCGACATGGTCCTGCAAAAGAACAGCCCAAAGTGGAAACAAAACAGCCAAGGAAAATGTTAATCACACCCCCACACTTAAGAACAGAAAACAGCCTAACCATGGTTTCATCCATAGTTCGGGGGTCAGAAACTCAATAAATCAAGCATAATCTGAGTGGGGGTGCACATCCATGAACAAGTAGGCAACTCAAGGTTCACATTCATACTAAATACACCCTCAAAGCACATCATTAAGGGCCCCAACCGACCCCCACAAAATGGTACGAAAACAGGCATTTCATCGAACACCTTGTGTGCACTATTAAAGTAAGCATGAATTTGGCACAATTCTTGCACACAAGGGCTCAAAGAATCAAGATGGACTTTACCCAACACAATTCAAACACACTCCATGCATTCCCCTCAATCAATTGCACAAAAATCACAAGATTCAATGAGGTTCTCTAAACATGCACCCTAACACCCAATTCTCCACAATTAACATAGTTAAGGGCAAAATCAAACCTGGAGACTCAAGTAGAGGTGTAGGGGATGATGAGGGGAAGGCGATGGAAGCAACGAAAAGCCGAAAAAATGCCCGGAAGTGCTCGTTGGAGCCTCGTCGGAGTCTCGCCGGAAATCGCCTCCGACGACAAAAACGTCGGCCAAATCTCCTCAAAATGGAGGGATAGGCCGCTTTTGGTGTAGGAAGGGTGGGTTTGTTATTGGTTTGGTGGAAAAATGTCAAAAAATGGCCGAAAAAATCGAAAAAGGGGGGTTTTGTCGCGGTTTTCCGGCGAGGTTCAGAGGATTCCGGCGAGGATTTTGAAATTTTCTGATAACCCGGCCGTGCTGGCCGAATATGAAGGCCGTGTCTCGGCCACACGGCCTGACTCGCACGGCCTTGTCATGAGCACTTTTGCCCGTGTCGGCCGACACGGGCTGGCCGAGGAATCTTCACTCGGCCGTGCCGAGTGCTCATTTGGCCGTGCCAAAATATGCAAGAGCAAACACGGCCAGGGCAAATTTCCACACGGCCGTGCCAACATCTCATCTGGCCGTGTGGAATTCTGCGAGAGCTCACACGGCCAAAATTATTTTCCACCCGGCCGTGTGACATTCAGGGCTGGCCGTGTGAGCTGCCAGAACTCCGAAAATGACCTGTTTTCACTCCAGAACGACATACAACTCGTGAACAACCCCTCAAGACTAAAAAAACACAAAAAATCAAAAAGAAAAAGGTAAGAAAATGCAAACCTAGGTGGGGTTGCCTCCCCACAAGCGCTTCTTTATCGTCTTTTAGCTGGACGCCAGTCAGTGGATGCTCAATGAGGTGAAGGAGCAGGTGCCTTCAAGAGCGGATCCACTTCGCTCTTGAGGTACAGCTTCAAATGATGGCCATGCACACGCCGAATGTGGCCACCAGCATTTGCCAACTCAACTTGGCCATCCGGCAGGATGCAAGCGAGTGAATACTCGGATGGCCAAGGTGGGGGCGGGACCAGCTCATAGTGGTCTCCGGCTTTCTTTCGAGCAGGCTTAGCTGCCTGCTGTTTCGGCCACCACTCCTCCCTGATTTGTTCCTTCGATGACGGAGTGGACGGGAGTGGCGGCGAAGGTATGGGAGGCGGATCCTGCAACATAGGCAACACAGGAGGATACACGACAGACTCGTGCTCCTGGTGAGATACAGCATGCAAAGGTGACGAAGCAGGACGAGTATTAGAAATTGAAAACGATATTCGCTCCTCACCATCCCTCAAAACTAAGGTCCCATCATGCACATCTATGAGGTCCTTGGCGGTGGCCAGGAAAGGCCTTCCCAGTATCAATGGCACATTCACATCCTCATTTATGTCCAAAATCACAAAATCAACAGGATAATTGAATTTGCCAAGCTTAACCAGAAGGTCTTCCACTATGCCCCTAGGATGCACTACAGATCGGTCAGCTAATTGAAGGCTCATCCTAGTAGCACGGGGTTCACCTAGGCCTAGTTTCTTAAACAGTTTATATGGCATAACATTGATACTAGCACCTAAATCCGCCAAGGACCTCTCTACATGCAAATTTTCTATAGAGCACGGGATAGTAAAACTACCTGGGTCCTTCTGTTTCTGCGGAAGCTTGTTCTGCAGAATGGCCGAGCACTCCTCGCTGAGCTCCACAGTGGCCAGCTCGTTCAGCTTCTGCTTCTTTGAGAGAAGATCCTTCAGGAACTTCGCATACTTAGGCATTTGAAATAGTGCCTCCAGGAAAGGCACTTGGACATTCAGCTTCCTAAGCATGGCCATGAAGTTCTCGAACTCTGCCTCCAGCCTGTCTTTGTGCAATCGAGTAGGGAAGGGGAGTTTAGGGATATACTCCTTCACTACTGGTTGCGATTTAGGTGCAGGCACCTCAACCTCCTTCTCTGCTTCTTCTTCAGCTGCTGGAGATGCCAAGGCAGGGGCCTCTCTCGCTTGTGCCCGAGCAGGTGGATCAACAGTCATCTTGCCACTCCTGGTCATGATGGCATTGCAGTGCTCATTCGGGTTTTGAGGATGAGGGATGGTCTGACCAGGTAGAGTACCAGGAGCCCTTTGTGCCACTACTTGAGCCACACTCTCCAGCTGGGTTTGGATATCCTGCAAGACAGCCTGTGTGTTCCTCTGGCCAGCTTCAAGAGCCAGGAATTTACCCGATGCCTTTTCCATGAACTGCTCGATAGTGTTAAATTTCTGAGCACTAGAACTGGCGAGAGAACCCACCAATTCCCGCAGTTCAGCCATCTGATCATTCTGCACTAGGGCGGCAGGGGCTGCACCTGGCTGCTGGAAAGGTCGCGGCTGTGATGGAGCAGCATGCCCCTGCATGGGCTGGTAGAGAGACTGCTGCTGCTGGAATTGCCCCTGTCTGGGCTGATATGGTGGCCTCTGGAAGCCCGGTGGTCCCTGGGGAACTGGTGGTCTGGAATTTGCCCCACCCCAGGAGAAGTTGGGATGCTGGCGCCACCCCTCGTTGTAAGTATTGCTGTAGGGGTCGTTGCGCCTAACATTGTTGATGAAGTTCACCTGCTCATGGGGTGTTGTCGATTCCTTCATCGCTTGGCAGTCTTCCACAGTGTGATGGGTGCTCTCGCACAACTGGCAGAGCATCGCCTGCGGCTGTCCTGTACCTGCAATCAAACCAGAACAATCGATAGCTGACACCAGCTTCGATACCACCTGTACCAAATCAGATGACTGGGTGCCCACAGCATGCACACCCCGTCCTGGTGCTCGTCTCGATCTCCTGGCAGTGCCCCAATCGTACCCGTTCTCCGCCATCTCCTCAAAGAGTTGATTCAGCTGTGGCGGTGTTTTGGTCAGCATGTTCCCGCCACAGACCAAATCAATCAGCTGCTTGTCCTCCGGGAAAAGGGCGTGATAGAAGGTGCCCACCTTGAACGCATCATTGAAACCATGATTTGGACACCTGAGGAAAAGACTGGTGTATCTCTCCCAAGCATCCATGATGGTCTCATCCTCATCCTGAGCAAAATGGGTAATTTGCTTCTGCAGGTCAGCTGTCTTGGATGGAGGATGGTAGCGGGTGAGGAACTTGTCCGCCAGGTTGGCGAACGTGGTGATAGAGCCCGGAGGTCGAGTATCCAGCCACTCCTTGGCTTGCCCCTCCAGGGTGAATGGGAAGTATCTCAGCTGGATGGCATCTGCTGGGACCCCATTGATCTTGATTCCATCAATGAGCTCATGAAATCGCCTGAGATGTGATCGGGGGCACTCCCCCTCTTTGCCACGGAACATCACCGAACCGCGCAACATGGTGATTACTGAGGTGCTCACCTCAAAATTATTGGCTGGGACATGAGGGTGTTGAATGGGTGACCTCATGTCTGCAGCCCTGGCAGTCCAGTAATGTCCCATGGTCTGCTCCTCGGGATCGATCACATCATGACCCTGTGGATCAGCCATCTCCTCCTCTTCAGTGATCTGTAGCTGTGCTAGCGCCTCCTCCGCAGCCAGTCGCGCCTTTAGAGCCCGCTTGAAGTTTCTGCAGGTTCGTTCAAGCTCCTGGTCGGGTGGTAGTAGATCTCCCGACTGGCTATGGGTCATGCACTACCTGCACACAATCAGCAGAAGCAACCCGTGAAGGCACACAGGTGGAAGAGATAAAATGCAGTAAATAAAAAGCTAGAGTAACAAATTCTCATGTTTCCCCAATAACCTAGAGGGTTCCCCGGCAACGGCGCCAAAAACTTGACACGCCAAAACACAACACCAATCTGCGACCAAGTGTAATCGCAGACCGGGAATGCAGTAACAGGCAAGTTATATTATCAACCCGGGGTCTAGGTCTACTGCTTACTCAGTGATTCTCTATTATCTAGCCAACTAAAGTAAGTGATTGTTGTTTAAAAGCAAAAGCAGAAATAAAGCAGGAATTGATACAGTTTTCTCAAGCAGGAAAGAGTCACTCGAGAATGAGTCCCCCTAGCTCCTTAGTTAGGTTTCAATTGTATTTCCCTGGGTTGATTTACTGTTGATTAGACTGCGAAAGATCCGACAGTAGCTTGGAATCTCTTAAGCTGACCAAGCTCTCTCAGTCTATCTACCCGGCAGACGACTAGTCTTCACCGGGATAGAAAGCTGAAGCAGTAAGAACAGAACTCCACTACTGGAATTGGATTCCAGTACAAAGCAGTAAACTGGCTAACTCTCGTATAGCCAATCTCCTACTACCGAATGATGAGACTCTGGCAACCTAATCAGATTCTATCTATCTCAGATTGCAGCAGGAATCAGGAAAAGTTGATCAGACTTCAATTGACTCAATAAACATGCATCATTCGATTAAAATCAAACAGTAATATCATCCCAAGTCATTACAATCAAATCCCTAACACATAGAACTAGGGTTCTTCATCCCCAAGTGAGAGAGGGGTTCTACTCCATAGAGAGAGAGAGAGGAAAACAAGATACAAAGTAGTCATACTCATAAAGATGAGGAAAATCTGCTCTGGGATGATGATTTCCACTCCTATGACGATCTCCAAGCTTGATTTGATGAAACGCAGCTCCAAGATAGCTTCTAGGATGTGTTCTTCGTCCTTTCTCTCTCTAGGGCTCTGTTTTTGCTCAAAAAGTCTGATTCTCTCTCTTGCAGCCCGGAATTGGGTTAAAACCAGGAATTCCCGACCCACACGGGCAGGGCCACACGGCCGTGTGGCATACCCAGTTGCTCGTGTGAGTCAAAACGTTGCGTTCCAATTAGTTCGATCTTCAAGCTTCTCACACGGCCAGGGTCGCACGGCCGTGTGTGACTTCCATCTGCCCGTGTTTGCTCTCGCACAATCTCACACGGCCAGACCACTCCTTCACACGGCCGTGTGGATATCAGGGCAAGCCGTGTTTGCTCTCGCACAATCTCACACGGCCACAAATATGAGTTGCACGGCCGTGTGAGTTGTGGGTGTGCCCGTGTGACCTCCTTTTTGACTTGCCTCGCGCCCGATCTTCGTCCAATCGACCCCAAACTCGCTCCCAAACCTCCATTCACGTACTAGGACCTGAAATATCACAAACAAACACAACCTAGCGTGAAATCGGCCTAAAATACGAGAAACCACATCTCAAACGGTGTAAGAACAGGGGTAAAAACATGTGTAATTAACGGTCTATCACGGGTGATGATGCGCATCCCTATGAGATTCGCCGATGTGAACCGGGTAAGAAACGGCAATCGCACCGACTGGCTCAATCGACCCGTGTGCGCCAGGTAGTGAGAGCTTTTGAGTCTGGGTTGTCCATGGGCGACTGCGAGATTGAGCAAGGACTGTGCCAACTAACGACCAAGGAAAAATTGGAACCGAGAAAGGATGTGGATGATGCCATCGGCCTTAACGAATATGGGTCCAATCTATATGATTCTTCTGTAGATATTAAAAAATGTCATATTGATGAGATTGATGGCGAATTTGTAGATTCCCCATCACAAAAAAAATAGTTCATAGAGGACAAGGAGGGAATGGAAAATATGGAGGAAGCTAACCATGAATGGCCCCAACCAGATAAATGAGGCTACTTGTCTGGAATGTGAGAGGAATTGGACCATCTCTCACTTTCCAAATTGTTGTCGGCTTAGTTCATTCCAATAAACCGGATCTCGTGTTTTTTTTCTGAAACACGATCGAGCCGGAAAGTAGTGTCCCGTCGTATGAGAGGTTTAGGTTTTGATTATTCTTATTGTTTTTTTGTTGATGGATTGATGCATCTGGTGGTTTATTTGTAGCTTGGTACCCCGAGGTTGACGTTTCGGTGTGCTTTCATTCCAACTACTGTATTTGTGCCCAAATTAATGAAGTGGATTTTTCTTATGTTCTGATTTTTGTTTACATTAGTTGCAATGTTGCAATTCGTGCCACCCAATTGGCCCAGCTCCAATAGATTTTCTATGATATCCATCTTCCCTACGTGGTCATAGGCGATTCTAACACTACTCTCCATGAGGTTGAGAAAGATGGTGGTCTTTCGTGGAATGATGCTCACTCTCTTAGCCTTCATGATTTTGTCCATGACTTAGGGCTACATGACCCTAGATATCAGAGTGATCAATTCACCTGGACGAATAAACGAATGGGAGTGGCGTGCATTCATGAGAAATTGGATAGAGCTTTGTGCTCTCAAACTTGGATTGATTAATTTCCGGATACCCTGGTCAAACATTTTACGGATCAGGAATCAGACCATCGAGCCCTTCTCTTCTCTGAGAAACCATATGCCCGTAATAGACATCCCATTTTACACTTTGATGCCCGTTGGGTGGATAATCCGGAGGTCAAGGCTATGGTTTAGTATGTCTGGCAAGAGGATGTTCGGGGTACTCCGATGTTTCAACTTTGGGAATGCCTTAAGAAACTCCGCCATCTTCTGTATGACTGGAGTAGAGCTGGGACTACGAATTCTTTGCGTAATATCAAAACCCTCCAGGCTGAAATTGATCGGATAAAATTAGTCCATCCTATTGACTGGGAGGAGATCCAGAGATTGGAAATTGAATTAAATAGGCAGTGGGAAGCGGAGGAAGTTTATTAGCAACAAAAATCTAGAGTCCGATGGTTGAAAAAAGGGGATAAGAATACAACTTACTTCCATATGGTCACCAGGGCTCGTCGGAACGGAACTTTGTGGCCGGCCTTCGCAATGATGAGGGAGAATGGATCACTGCGGAGAATGGAAAAGCTGCAATTGCCAATAATTTTTATCAGACACTTTTGACCTCAGAGAATCAGGTGCCTAATATGTCTGCTCGGGTGGCCGCTCTTCCTATTGCTCACTATGTTTCTCCGAAAATGAACGCTGGTCTGACGATGGAAGTTCTTCCTAAGGAAATACGAACAACGGTCTTTTCCATGGAATCGAAGCAGGCACCAGATACTGATGGTTTCACCGACAAATTCTTTAAAGCCTTCTGGGACATCGTGGGGAGTTCGGCGATTGATGCAGTCTCTTGTTCTTTTCAACGAGTAAAATGCTTCGTAGCTTCAACCATACTTGGCTCACATTGATCCCTAAAGTGGACAATGTGGAGACTATGAGGCAACTTCGTCCAATCAGCTTATGCCAGTTTGTGTATAAAATTATAACCAAAATCATGGCTAAAAGGCTAGCTGGCCTCTTACCTCAGATCATCTCGGAGGGGCAAAACGCCTTTATCCGGGAACGCCATAAAAATTGAGAACATCCTCCTCGGACATGAATTAATTCATTACTTGAAAATCAAAACGCGTGGCAAGAAAGGGTACATGGCTCTAAAGGTTGACATGGAAAAGGCCTATGGTAGAGTTGAATGGCCTTTTCTTCTTGCAGTTTTGGACAAGATGGGTTGTAACTCAATCTGGAGAGGATGGATCCATGAATGCCTCAGATCCACATCGTTCTCGGTCCTTATGAATGGTACCCCTTCTGGGTTCTTCTCTCCTTCCAGGGGTCTCAGATAGGGTGATCCTCTCTCGCCTTTGTTGTTTGTTATTTGGACAGAGGGGTTTGCTGCACTCCTGCGTAAGGCCATTTCGGAGAAAAAACTGGAAGGAGTTTAGGTGGCCCCTCGAGCTCCCAGGATTTCCCATCTGTTTTTTGCAAATGATTCTTATATATTCCTACGTGGATCTCTTCAGGAATGTGAGAATTTAATTGAGGTATTGAATGACTATGAGGAACTCAGTGGACAGAGGGTGAATTTGGCTAAATCGGCAGTTTGCTTTAGCAAAAATATTGCTTTGCCAGACCAAGAATTCTTGGCTCAGATACTGGGGTTCGGTGCGGTGGGGGTGAATGACAAGTATTTGGGACTCCCAACGCTTATTGGTCGCTCTAAAATGGCTACTTTTCGATATTTGGAAGAAAAGTTGATTGAGCGACTCCGTAGAGGAAACAGAGGACATTATCTTGGGCAGCTAAGGAAACCTTGATTAAGTCAATTGCTTTAGCGTTGCCTTTGCATGTTATGTCATGTTTTAAGCTTCCTCTGTCTCTGTGCCGACTCTTTGACAAACACAATGCCCGCTTCTGGTGGGGTGCTGCTGAGGGTCAGTTAAGGATTAGGTGGATATCCTGGTGTATTATGTGCAGAAGTAAACATGATGGGGGAATGGCATTTCGTCGATTTCAACATTTCAATCAAGCATTGTTAGCCGAAATCGGTTGGCGTATCCTCAATGAACCTCATTCCCTTTTAGCCCAGGTGTATAAAGGAAAGTACTTTCCTAATGGTACCTTCCTCATTGCTATAGCTCATTCTCGCCCTTCGTGGGGTTGATAAAGTATCTTATACGGTCTGAAGTTGTTGGAGATGGGGTTACGATGGCAAATTGGTAATGGTCAGACTGCTTCTCTTCTTCATTCCAATTGGGTTCCTCGATCACATCCTTGGCCCCTCGTGTTTAACCCTCAAGTGTTGCCGGAAGGGGGTGACCCGAAGGTTGCTGAGGTGATGTGTCAAGGCGAATGGTTTGGCATAGCACAACACTTCAGCAATGGTTTGACCCGTCTACTTGTTGTGCTATCAAAGCTATTCCACTGCCTCGTCAGGATGTGGAGGATCGACTGATTTGGCATAACACAGTTGATGGCATTTTCACAGTTAAATTGGCTTACCATCTTACTGTCTCTCTTGACCAACAAAGGGAGCGTTGGAAGTCTATGGTCAGTTGGATGGATAAAGTCAGTTGGATTCGATTATGGGAGGCTGATATTCTGCCCAAATTAAAAGTTTTTCTATGGCAAATATTCCACCGAATCCTGCCAACTACTGAAGCCCTAAGATATAAGGATGTTCTGGTGCTCCCTAGATGCCCGGTTTGTTGGGCTGAATCTAAAACAATGGAACACTTGTTTTTATACTGCCCAGTGGCGCGAGCCCTTTGGGATTATTCGGGCCTGGAGTATCTTGGTCAAGGTTTGCCTCGGCATACATTCCCGCTCTTTCTAAAAAAGTTGACCAACCTCCTCTCTTCATGGCGGTTGTTGCCATCCTTTGGAGGAACTGGCGGTCTCGTAACTGGGTTGTCTTCGAGGGTAGACAGTTTGGGATCCCTGCCCTGATGCGTCAATTTAACCAGCAATATGAGGAGTGGATAAACTTACCGGTAGATCCCACACTGCGGTTTTCCATCCAAATATTACACCACCAGAGTCCCATTGCGGATACTACGGCTGTGTGTATGTGGGATGGGGCTAGAATGAGTGGGTCTCATTGATAACGATGTAATTGCACATATTTGCGCCCCTAGTTCTTATCCGTTCGAGGGGCATAGTCGTGTATTTTTTGCCTATTTTACGCCGGGTTGTGCTATTTTGTCATATTTCAGGTCCCAGGCGTCAAAGGAAAGGCTAAGCACGAGTTTCGGGGCATTCGGAAGTCATTTCGTCGAGCTGGAGCCAAAACACGGGCACACCTAAAGCAGAACACGGCCGTGTTCTGTGGCCGTGCTTTTACTGCCGAGAGCTAATTGAGTTTGGCAAATTCAAGCTGCAAACACGGGCTGAAAGCACGGCCGTGTCCACCAAAGCACGGCCGTGTCCTCTCAAAAGCACGGCCGTGTTTCTCCCAACACAATCCGTGTAATTAACCCTAGCCAAAGCACGGGCGGGCTGAGGCATTACACGGCCGTGCCCTCGACCGTGCTTTGGCCACTGATGCCCTTTTAAGCAGATTTTCAGCCAAAGAGAAGGGGATTCGAGTTTTGAGAGAGATAGAGCGATTCCTAGAGAGAGAAAGCGACGAACAAGAGTCTCCAAGTGCCCTAGCTTGATCTTCATCACCATCGGAGGCCAGTTTGAGCTTGGAGAAGTGCCAATCAACGTCCAGGAGCAGGAATCCATCCTTCACAGTATGAATTCCGCGTCTGATTCTGCTTTTGCTTCTTTCTCCATGGAGTAGTTCTCCCATTCATCTGGGTATGGAGAACCCTAGATTTGTATGTTAGGCTTTGATTGTATGAACCCAAGTACTGATTCTATGATTTGATTATATTCAATTGAGGTTTGATTGATTGAATGGAATGAATCCTGATCAAATTCCTGTTGTTTCTGCTTTAACCTAGAATGAGAATATCTGCCTAGGTTGATAGAGCATCCTTGATTGAAGGTAGGGAGTTGGTGACTTTAGTCGAGGAGCCAACTCACTATTCTGTACCGAATTCACTTCGGTAGTGGAGGTTTTGTTCATAGGGCCTCAATCTGTTTACTCCGGTGGAGGTTAGTCGCCCGCTAGAGATTCAGATTAAGAGGGTCTGAAGACCTTTAGTCAAGACTTCAGGCTGTTTAAGAACCTTCCGCAGTATAACTATCATAGAAACTGAACTTGGTAATTGCAATCCGGCTTAACTGCAGTCTAGGGGGAACCATATCCGGGTGACCTCTCTTAACATGAATACAACCGTTTACTTGCTTTGTTAGTTTGTTAGTTTAGACTTGCATTAAAGTTTCATTGCTAGATAACAAGAATTCACTGAGTAGTCATCAAATCTAGGACCCGGGTTGATATTAAAACCCAAACCCGCTATACTACGCGTTAGGAAGTGGTTACACTTGGCCAATTCCTAGGGTGACAGTAGAAGCGTGTCAAGTTTTTGGCGCCGTTGCCGGGGACGGCTAGGTTGTTGAAGAAAAGTGATTTCTGTTAATTTAGCTTTTCTTTTTGCTTTGTTTGCTTTGTCCCACTTGTGCCTTCACGGGTTTGCTTGCTTGAGTGTGTGCAGGTAGTGCATGACCCGTAGCCAGTCAGGAGGTTTACTGCCGTTGAATCCAGAGATTGATCGCACCTGTTGCCAGCTCAGGAGACAACAGCGAGCTAGACTGGCTACGGAAGAGCGCATAGACGGCCACCTGAGTAGCGATTCTGAAGAAGAGTACGGGATGGACGGAGACTACAATCAGCACCAGGGGAATCCTCAGCAGGTTCCCCCGGTGAATCAGGTCCTGGGAAACAACCCCATACCCCAGGATCATGGGGTTCATCATCCATCGCCGCCGGGTCCCACCTTGGAGTACTACTACACTCCACGGATTGCTCACATCCGCCCGGTTATCCTCTACCCGCCTATTCCAGCAAATAACTTTGAGATCAAGCCATGCTGGATTCAGCTCATTACATCCTCTATCCAGTTCCATGGCTTGAAGGATGAGGAGGCCAAGGTACATCTCTCCCGTTTTCTGCAGCTGACGAACGGGTTCAAGCTGAATGGTGTCCCGGATGATGCAATCTGCCTTCATCTCTTCCCCCATTCTCTGGCGGGGAATGCTAAGAGGTGGTTGGAGACCCAGCCCCCATTGTCCATCACCTCTTGGGACGATCTGGCTGACAAGTTCGTGCACAGGTACTATCCGGCATCGAAGACTACAGAGATCCAGCGGGAGATCACTCACTTCCGCCAAGAGCCAGATGAGTCACTTCGTGATGCTTGGGAGCGGTACATGGGCTATTTCTGGCAGTGTCCCCATCATGGCTTCAGTGATGCATCCACAGTGGGGAACTTCTACAGTGCCCTCTCTCCAGATAGCCAGAGGGTGATTGAGTCTCTATGCCCAGGAGGGGATATTCTTACTAAGACTCCACCCGAGCTGAACCAGATGATCAGTACTTTGGCTGCCAGAGATCATTCTTAGGGACAGGGTAGCCGAGGCAGACAGTCCCGGGACCGTGGTGTGCACGCCATGGAGACCAGATCCGGGCTCGAGCAGCAGGTAGCTGAGCTAGTGCAGACATTGAAGCAGCCCAATAGTCTTATTCCGGGCAGAGGTTTGGCTACACCTCCAGTAGCTCAATGTCAGTGGTGCGAGAGCTCCAATCACCTAGTGCTATGAGGGAGTCTACCACTCCCCAAGAGCAGTTGGACTTCATCGCCAATGCTCGGCGCCTCGGCCCGTACAGTAACACATATAATGAGGGGTGGCGCCAGCATCCCAACTTCGCCTGGAGCAGCAACACCACTAAACCACCTGGTTTCCCAGCACCAGCAGGTGGTTTTCAGCAGAGGCAACCCTTCCAGGCTCGACAGGGGCCAGCCCCACAGCAGCAGCCCTACCAGCCTAGGCAAGGGCAACCATTCCAACAGCCCCAGCATCAGTTTGTCGAGCCAGCAGCAGCCCCTGCCCCAGATGACCGGATGACAAAGCTGGAAAATATTCTAGCTTCATTCATGACTAGCACTCAGGCTGCTATCACGTCACTGGAGGCAGGTCAGCGGAACCAGGGTGCCATTTTGCAAGATCTACAGCATCAGGTGGGTATCTTAGCCCGCCAAAACACTACCAGGACACCAGGGACTCTGCCTGCCACCACTATTCCTAATCCTCGTGATCCTCACCAGCATCAGCAGTTGGATGCCATTTTTACCATGAGAGGTAGGACCACATCTGCTGATCCTGTCCCGGCCAGACAGGAGGAACCATTACCTGCTTCAGCACTTCCAGCCGACAATGCAGAAGTGCGGGTGGAGAAGGAAGCCCCTTCTCCCAAGCCCCAACCAGTGGTTAAGGAGCATGTACCCCAGCTTCCCTTCCCCACTCGCCTACACAAAGACAAGTTGGAGACTGAGTTTGCCAATTTTATGACAATGTTGAAGCAGCTCAACATCAGCATACCGTTTGTGGAGGCACTGTCGAAGATGCCCAAGTACGCGAAGTTCATGAAAGATCTCCTCACCAACAAGAAGAAACTTGGGGATCTCTCGACAGTGTTGCTGAGCGAGGAGTGTTCTGCTATCCTGCAGAACAAGCTGCCCGAAAAGCGCAAGGATCCAGGGAGTTTTACTATCCCTCTTACTATTGGCAGCATGCATGTAGGCAAGTCCTTGGCGGACCTAGGCGCTAGCATAAATGTCATGCCATATAATTTGTATAAAAAGCTAGACCTAGGTGAACTTAGCCCTACTAGGATGAGCATTCAGCTAGCTGATCGTTCCATTGTGCATCCTAGGGGAACCATAGAGGATCTGCTTGTCAGTGTAGGTGCATTCACATATCCTGTTGATTTTGTTATTCTTGATATACATGAGGATGTGGATGTGCCTTTGATTATGGGGAGACCATTTCTTGCCACCGCCAAGGCACTTATTGATGTGCATGATGGTAAACTGATCTTGCGTGCTGGGACTGAACAGGCTACTTTTTCTGTGACTGAATTCGATCACTGTGCTATGATTGTTGTCACACCTGTGCATGCCATTTCTGATCAGGTACACGAGCCTGTCGTGTATCCTTCTGCACCTCTCATTTTGCAGGACCCTCCTATCATTCCTTCGCCGCCACTCCATCCAGTCTCGCCTCCGAACAAAAAGATCAAGGAGGAGTGGCGGCCGAAGCAGCAGGTTGCCAAGCCTGCACGGAAGAAGGGTGGAGACCACTACGAGCTGGTCCAACCCCCTGCACCACGACCACCCTGGCCGTCCGGGTACTCACTCGCCTGCATCTTACCGATGATGGTGGTCGCATCCGCCGGGTGCATGGCCACAACCTGAAGTTGTACCTCAAGAGCGACGTGGATCCGCTCTTGGAGGCACCTGTTCCTTCACTTCCCTGAGTATCCACCATGGGCGTCTAGCTAAAAGACGGTAAAGAAGCGCTTGTGGGGAGGCAACCCCACCACGGTTTGACTTTCTTTCTTGTGTTTTGAGTCGGATTGTAAACCGGTTTGGTTTTGGTTTATTTTCTTTTGTTTTGGATGATGTATTATTAGGCTGACCATTGGACCTAACATATCGTGTTTGAGCTCTTTGATTTCCTTTAGCTGTGCTTGTCTTGACTGGTTCTCTATCCAGTCCGCTTCACTCCGACTGGTCCGCTTCCAGTCTCCTGCAGTCCGTGCATACCGGTAACATCGTTCCCCTTTCCCTTCCCTCTTCTCCGTTGATCTTAAGTGTGGGGGGATGTTTATCTTTTGACTGCATTAGATCTGTTTGTGTGCTTGGAGCCTAGTCCACTGTCCAAATTTTTAAATTTAAGGGCTCCAAGTACGTGTTTTCGTGCAATTGCCTGCTCAGTATGCTTTGAATTGACAGTCTTTATAGTAATATGCAACCTAGGGAGGTAGTGTAGCACTATGGAGGATGTTGATGCATTTAAGAAGTCTCATTTCTTCTTCATATTGTGTTGGTTGATTGAGTGAATTAGTGATCTTAGGACCCTTGAATTGTGTGGTGTTGTGGACTCTCTACCTGTCATGGACTCTTGTATCATGTCTTGAAAATAACAGGTGCTCGAAAATGTGCTTTAGAATAACGTCTCCCGTGCGAATAGGGCGAAAGTGTGTAAGGGGAGACGGGAATTCATTCCCAATTTCCACCTACTACCTCCAGCCCCCTTACATGTCTTTCCCCCGCACGAGGCTCGAGACATCCTCTCCTGGCATGGCCGGTAAGAGCAGGTTGGGACCCTTGAAAAAAAAGAGAAGAAAAAAAATAACAGAAAACAAGCAAAACAGAAAGAAAATGGGTTCCAACCATCTTCAAGAAGAAAATAGAGCACCTTGAAAAATGTGAGTCCATGACCTTTGTTTTTGAGAATCTCTTCATCCACAATTCATTTGTCCTCTGTTCACTATTTGCCATGATGCCGACTCGATACTAGTGTTCTCGCCGAAGAAGCTATGAGATGACTTGTGCGTCGGTTGACCTCGTAAGCTGCTAAATGATCTAGGAAGTCCTCTACCTACGATCTGGGTTGTTTGTTGCTATAGAGGTCTGGAGAGTTGCATTGGTTTGAGTTAGGTTTGTTTGGGGACAAGCAAACGGTTAAGTGTGGGGGAATTTGATAACGATGTAATTGCACATATTTGCGCCCCTAGTTCTTATCCGTTTTAGGGGCATAGTCGTGTATTTTTGGCCTATTTTACGTCAGGTTGTGCTATTTTGTCATATTTCAGGTCCCAGGCGTCAAAGGAAAGGCTAAGCACGAGTTTCGGGGCATTCGGAAGTCATTTCGTCGAGCTGGAGCCAAAACACGGGCACACCTAAAGCAGAACACGGCCGTGTTCTGTGGCCGTGCTTTTACTGCCGAGAGCTAATTGAGTTTGGCAAATTCAAGCTGCAAACACGGGCTGAAAGCACGGCCGTGTCCACCAAAGCACGGCCGTGTCCTCTCAAAAGCACGGCCATGTTTCTCCCAACACAATGGTCGTGTAATTAACCCTAGCCAAAGCACGGGAGGGCTGAGGCATTACACGGCCGTGCCCTCGACCGTGCTTTGGCCACTGATGCCCTTTTAAGCAGATTTTCAGCCAAAGAGAAGGGGATTCGAGTTTTGAGAGAGATAGAGCGATTCCTAGAGAGAGAAAGCGACGAACAAGAGTCTCCAAGTGCCCTAGCTTGATCTTCATCACCATTGGAGGCCAGTTTGAGCTTGGAGAAGTGCCGATCAACGTCCAGTAGCAGGAATCCATCCTTCACAGTATGAATTCCGCGTCTGATTCTGCTTTTGCTTCTTTCTCCATGGAGTAGTTCTCCCATTCATCTGGGTATGGAGAACCCTAGATTTGTATGTTAGGCTTTGATTGTATGAACCCAAGTACTGATTCTATGATTTGATTATATTCAATTGAGGTTTGATTGATTGAATGGCATGAATCCTGATTAAATTCCTGTTGTTTCTGCTTTAACCTAGAATGATAATATATGCCTAGGTTGATAGAGCATCCTTGATTGAAGGTAGGGAGTTGGTGACTTTAGTCGAGGAGCCAACTCACTATTCTGTACCGAATTCACTTCGGTAGTGGAGGTTTTGTTCATAGGGCCTCAATCTGTTTACTCCGGTGGAGGTTAGTCGCCCGCTAGAGATTCAGATTGAGAGGGTATGAAGACCTTTAGTCGAGACTTTAGGCTGTTTAAGAACCTTCCGCGGTATAACTATCATAGAAACTGAACTTGGTAATTGCAATCCGGCTTAACTGCAGTCTAGGGGGAACCATATCCGGGTGACCTCTCTTAACCTGAATGCAACCGTTTACTTGCTTTGTTAGTTTGTTAGTTTAGACTTGCATTAAAGTTTCATTGCTAGATAACAAGAATTCACTGAGTAGTCATCAAATCTAGGACCCGGGTTGATATTAAAACCCAAACCCGCTATACTACGCGTTAGGAAGTGGTTACACTTGGCCAATTCCTAGGGTGACAGTAGAAGTGAGTCACTCATTCGGCCGGAGGGATGGTTATTATGAGTCCAACTAGGGACGTACTTTTCGTTAAAGGGATTCTGTTTCCGTTGGTTGATGACCCCTTGGTGGTTGAAATGCTCGTGCTCAGGGAGGCTATTTTATGGTGCCTCGGCCATGGATTCACGGAAATGAGATTTGAAGGAGATGCCAAGGTCATTATAGATAAAATTAATCAGGTAGATATCAGAGATAACCGGATGGGGGCTATTCTTGAAGAAGTTATTCATTATTTTGCCACTCATTCTGGGTTTTATGTTAGATTTGTAGGTCGGAGTAACTATAGGGTAGCCCATGGGGTGGCTAGAAAGGCTTTGTCTTTGTACCCGACTATGAGTCGGTCCTTTGATTTCCATACCTGGCTGAACTCCGTGATATAACTATCTATCTTTTGAATCAATATGATTATCTTTTGTAAAAAAAATCATGTAGTTTTTTCAGCAACTACTAAAATATGCTTCATTTAGAATTTCTAACGTATCAATGTGATAACAGTAAATTTAGATGGAGGACATAAGAAATAAATAACTTGTGTTATAAAACAAAATAATTGACCAAATTATCTTATTTCTCATTCCATACTTTTTTCCCGCCAATTGATCACTAGGATTAAAAAGATTCGAGAGATACAAATACAATTTGCTCCATACCTCTAAATAACATACATCATAACACACGAATATATGTTTATAAAATCATTGTCTAAATTCCAAATTTATGAAGTCTTTGATTTATACTTGAACCGAACACTTTATTGATGTTTTTGGGTTGTTATACCGAGTATTTTATGATTCTATACGGAGTATTTTATGATTTATGATTCAAACGGTCTTATATAGGTTAAGTATATGGTATTTTTTATTGCCATTTTTTTATTGTTTATCTTGTAGCAGGTATTGTTGTATTATGAAATAACTATTAATTATTAATTTAAACAAAACAATCACATGGATTAAAGTTAAAGCCCAACCATGTAAAAGAAAAATCACTTGTATTTGAAAAAAGAAAAAATACTAAAAAGTTTGCTTCGAAACTCGTTGATGGACAAAAAAAAAATATGATTACTTATGTTTTAGTGGGTATTGGGACTAAAAAAGAAAAGGAAAAAGATCTAAAAATTAGTAAATTAGTTAGACAAATCCGGAAAAGAAAAGGGGAAAAATAATTGACAATGGAAAACCGAACATGCGAATAGGGATGGCAATGGGTCGGGTTGGGGCGGGTTTTATCAAACCCAAACCCAAACCCATGGGTTTATCCGCCAAAAAAACCTGGGGTAAAACCCGTTGGGCTTGAAAAACTCAAACCCAACCCAACCCGCTGGGTATCCGCGGGTTCATGGGTACCCGTGGGTTTTTATGGTAAAAAATTTACAATAACAAGTTTCTTTCAAAATAAAAGTTTAACATCAATTTTCTCATACAAATTAATCATACAAAAAAACACCAATCTAGAGCATACAAGCAAACCGCAAATGATCAATACAAATTGTTCAAAATTAAAGATAAACATCTATAAACAAAAGATTAATTGAAAGCTTCTTCCTCGTCAACTAAGTTTCTTCACTCTCCACTTCATAATATCAACTTCATTCTAAACAATTAGAAAGAACAAATTATACATGTCTCCACAAACACAAAGAATATTAATTGCTTAAGGAAAATATATTATTTAGAATATTAAATATACCGGGAAATTAATTATATGTGTGTGGGCGTGTACCCATGGGTCGGGTTTACCTAAACCCAAACCCAACCCGACCCGGTGAATAGTGTAGCGGGTTTAAACCCGAACCCGGCCCAAAACTCGTCAACGCGGATTTTACCCGCATTGACCGGGTTGGGTCGGGTGGGTACCCGTGGGTTCGGGTTTTGTTGTCATCCCTATATGCGAATAGATGAGAGGGGAATAGACATATTAACCCCTCCTAAATGTAAGGTATAGCCGGCCGTGGCTGATGTGGCAAACGAAGTTTTTTTACATTGCCTTATAGGTATTTTTAGAGTATTATTATTATTATTTAAGTGGACCGGGTCAGCCCAAGAAGTAAAAGATGAATGGTTGATTGGAATGTGATTGAGGGACGGGTTAGCATGCTAACCCCTTAAGGGGTTGGTTTTTTTACACCCCCTTTTAATTGGTCAGTTTTTCATTAATTATTGACAAGTATTAATGAAAGTAAACATAATAAATGTTCTGTTATTAAATACAAAGTAAGCATTAAATACACCACATTAATTACCACTTTACTGGTATTTGTACCACTGCACTGATACTCAGATATGACATTGCTACCAGTGCACTGATATCGCTACCAGTACAGTGGTACAACGTATCAGTGCAGTGGTATATCTACCAGTACAGTGGTATATCTACCAGTACAGTGGTACACCGTATCAGTGCAGTGGTATTTTTTTGGAGGTGGTCGGAGGGAGTCTGCCGATGGGATTTTCACCGGAGAAGTGTGGCGGTCGGAGGAAGTCTGGTGGTCGGAGACTGCTAAAAAAGAAAAATCAAATATAGTGAGAGAATTCCTAATGTGTATTTAATGTGTGTATTTAATTCCTAATGTGTATTTAATAGTGAGAGAATTCCTAATTAATATGGTACATTTAATTTCTAATGTGTATTTAATGTGTGTATTAAATTCTATAGTTGTATTTAATATACTAGGAGGGGTGTCATTTTTCCAACCCCTAGGGGGGTTAGCATGCTAACCGACCCCTGTGATTGATACTTACTGGGGTCAACTTAACCTTTGGGTCGCAGGAAGCCTGCCTGGCTATACACAAAATTTAAGGATCTCCTGTCATGTCTCACTTCAGTCGAAGGATAGTCATGTTGAAGGATTTCGCGGTACTAATTTTACAAGACACAAACACAAACACAATACAAGCTGCAACTACTACATGTTCATTCATCACCCCAACGCCAAAACAATTATGAATGCTACTGAGTGTAGCGACATGAACGTACCATATACAACTATCTGAACTTTGGCCCTAGACCATAAAGAAATGTGATTTATTTCGAGCCGAAATCTATAAACTAAACCCCCAATCATACAAATCTCCCATTATCTTAATGATGCATCTAAACCATATGCATAACCGCAGAGGAAGTAAAGTTCTAGCAGAAGCAGCCTCGGTGAGGGGATATGAAAGAGCCCTGATCCTTATTGGGTTACTTGCAATATTTCTTTGATATCATATCCTTGGAGCTGCGAGATGGAAGTGCCGAAGGCAACAACATCAGGTTAAGAGCGGCATTCAATAACTTTTCGAATGTAAGATTTGGTACAGCGGAGCTAGGCTTCGAGTATTCACAGCAGGATGCTAGGAGATATTACTAAATCGGGGAAGATTTAACTAGAGGAGGAAGAGAATGTACCTGGAGCAAGGTGAGAATCAAGATCACCCCAGAGTCCCAGCAAGCATGAATTGTAATTGGAGTAAGAAGGTTTCGGGTTTGAGCATATGAAAATCCAAGCAGAGTTCCTAATCAAGTTTACCGAATTTCTCTTAATTACTCATCAAGAATCCAAAGCTGTGGTGCAATCAACTGTCCAAGTATATACCTAACGCAAACAGTTGGGGAAACTCTCCTGGAGTTAGATGTGCTAGAGCGAAAACTGCAGCACTGATCACTACAGCTATTGGTGTTGGAACCCTGTCGAGAAGTTGGAGAGATATAGAGAGCAAGCATGGTCCGTCAGCTCATACAGGCAGAATAATCAAATTTGTAACTAACAAACTCATATTCGCCACATACCACTTTGTAAGAGCGACCATGAAAAATCCTCGAAAGACGTTCTCCTCCAAAATTGGAGCAAGGACACCAGTGATTACTAGCAGTAAACCAGTGCTGCAACGGTAGCGAATATGAGTAATTCAGTTACGATCCACACTCAAGATCTTAAATATGGAAGAGAAAACTATTTCAATTATCACATTTTACATAGGGGCGATTTCAAACTTACCTGATGCCTGAAGATCCGATTAGTGGAAGAAGCCGAACAAGAGCATCAGCCTGCAATAACAGAAGTGAAAGGTACCTTACATGACATCATATATAGGATGTAGAAAGATCCGTCAAAGGCAGTTCTTAGAAGGAAACATCAAGAAATAAGAAACCACCTAACCAGAAAAAGAAGATGTCCTACTCAAACCAGAAAAAGGAGATACTTATTGGAATTAACTCGCCAGTGTACCAAAAACAATAAAGATACCCAAGTTGGCATGAGTTAATATGACTGTGGCCCTAGCCATTTCAAACACACGCTGCTGCAACAACTCCCTTTGAACTTCCATCATCCCATATGCTCTCTACTAAAAAGAAATCGAATTAATGAATGTAAGAAACAAGTTTCTAACCTCACGTTCTTGAGTCTCGCCATTAAAAGTGGAGACAACAAATCCTGTCAATGCAATGGCAACCACAGCACTCCCAAGACCTATCCCAGCCCACAACAACCAGCCTCGTCGCAGGTCGAAGGGTTCCTTGAAATCTGACACAATATCAAACCATCCTGAAACTTTCCTACTTGAATCGCAGAATGATTACAATAAATGAACTGTTGCCGAACAGAATCTGCTGAAGTTATAATCAAACAACAAATTAAGACTGCTTTACCATAGCGATAGATATCTTCAGGAAGCGGTCCAAAGCTCTTGGTAATACTATACATAACTCCAATTACAACTGCTGTTGTGAGACTGGGTAAGGAGCAAAGTTCACAGAAGTCAGAAAAACTACAATCTCATCGCATTACCAATGTTGCAAAGAAATGAACACATCTCATGTACCTTTGATCCACAAACAACAACTCAGCCTTCTCATCTAAACTCAACTGTTCATATTTAATTCCCAGAAATGGCAAAGTCTGAACCTCCACCAACCCTGTCAAAATAAAACTGCCTGCCTAAAAGTTAATTCACTTTCTACTTAGCCAACACCATACACCAATTCAAGCTACAACAGTTAGAACTTACAAAACGAATTCCCGTGAATTCATCAATAGACATAATATTTTGCCAAGGAAAAAGTACCCAGATCAAAATTTTCAAGAATTCAAACGTCAAAATTAGGAGCAAGCAGAAATCAGAACCTAATTCCACAGGCAAGTGATGTTAACGAAACAGTCGGCCACTCCCACGGCACGTCCCATCTCTTCAAAGCTGGCCAATCCAATCCACTCTCCTAAAATCGCAACCAGACATTCCCTAAAAATCGTATAGTTTCAAAAGGAGAACAGACAAAGCGCTATCAAACCAGCATCTCGAAGCATAGCCGAACCTGAGGCTCAAGTTTGGTCTTCGACTTCTCTTCTCCAGAATTGAAGAAGCAAACCGGGCGCAATCCTCGGCTAGAAATACGAATTAACCTTCCTGGAGCTACCAACTTCGGGATTCCGACTGGAGTTCTCAGTGAAGATGATAACTTGGAAGAAGAAGAAGAGAGACAGTGCATAGAAGACTGAGCTAGAGAAGTGAAGATTGCGGAAACCATGATGCTGAGTTTGTGCTTTCCGATCAAAAGACTGAAGCTTTACTGGTTGATTGTTGGTGAATTGCGAGAACTGCTATTCGTGGGAATGGACTGGCCCGTTGTGCGGGCTGAGAGCTAGATAAGGATGATGCCATGATGGAGGGAACTGTGAAGGCACAGTCATGGTATCCACCCGATAAAATTCGGGTGAAACCGGGTAAAACCGGGTAAAATCTCACTGTTGATGGATTTTGGGAAAGAATCCCAAAATACACATTTTCAAAATAATATTTTAAAATATACCTGTTTTATGAAATTTTTTCAATTTATATATGTTTGAGTATCACCGCAGCCGTCAAACGCGATTAAGGCATTTATCGCAGCAGATAAATGTATTGTGGCAGTTCACCGCTTTTGTCCGCCGCGGTGAAGGTCTGGCCTAAGGCTGAAACTTCAAACGAACCTAATTTTGCGCTCGTTTATTGGTTCGTAGCCAAATCTACACAATAAATAAAAGCCGAATAAGAAAACTTGAAGCCTCATTTCAAATTTCCTATATCCAGAGTGAAAGTAGGAGGAGTAGATTCGTCTTCACAGTCATTTATTATTTTCTTATTTACAAAAAAAAATACATCAATAATGAGATTTGAACTATTGTCTCTTCGACAAAAGATAAGAAACATAATCAGTTACAATAAACACATTTGTGTGATCTTTTTTCAATTAAAAACATAAAAGAAGCTTAAATCTGAAAAATTATAGGATTTTTCCACCACGGTTAGCAAGCGAAATGTCATTGATTCAAATATTGCATATCGAATTGCACTCTTGAATGTGTAGAAGCGATGTAGAAATCTTAACATAGACTTAATTGTTATAACTATCATAAAATAACGATATTTTTAAACATAGAACTTTTGAGTGGATATGGGCACATGTGTCTTTAAGAGAGGGGTAAATATGGAAAGGTTGAGTGATATTGGTTTGCCGAACGCAGATGGAAAATACACTACTAATGTAAACGGACCTAAATAATGCCCCGACGCACTAAATGCTCAACCATCACCGTCTCTCCAACCTTTCCATCAGCCTCAACAACCGGCTAACCTCCTCTAACTCTATTTTACGCCAGAGCAATTTTGGGAGGGGTAAATATGGAAATATTGAGTGTTGTTGGTTCGCTACACCTAATATTATAGTGAAATGGGAAAGGTGTTTCCCCCATTACAAAATCCTTACATTCATACCAAAAGTAGAAAAGTTAGATTCATCTTCACAGTCATTTATTATTTTCTTATTTATAGGAAAAATGCATAAATGATGGGATTTGAATTGTGATCTTTTTGAGAAAATACAAGAAACATAACCAGTTACAGTAAACAAAAAAAATTAACTTTTAAATTAAAAATATACAGGAAGTACATATGAAAAATCATAGTAATTTTCCATTACAATTAGCTAAGCTACCAACTCTCCCCTAAATATTTTTTTTGGCATTTGATACTTCTATTTTCATACTTTGATTATTTTAATTCAAGTTTAATAATTAATTCTATTTCTATTTGTCTTATAAAAGGAGAATAATTTTAAAATCGCAAGCCTAATGTCATTGGTGCAAATAATGCACATCGAATTGCAGTATTGAATGTGTAGAAGCGATGCAGAATTCTTGACATAGATAATATAACTACCATAAAGCAACACTATATTTGAACATAGAAGTTTTGAGTGAATATGGGGCACATGTGCCTTTAAGAGAGGGGTAAATATGGAAAGGTTGAGTGATGTTGGTTTATCGAATGCGGATTGAAAAGGCGCAACTAATGTAAACGGGTTTAAATGGTGCTCTGACCTACTAAATGTTCAACCATCGCCGTCTCTACAAACCTTCCCACCGGACTCGACAACCGTCTAACCTCCTCCACCTATATTGTTACACAAAGCAATTTTCGATGGAGTAAAGATAGAATGGTTGAGTGTTCTTGCTTAAAAAGCTGACTGGTGGGTTATGTAGTTTCTTTGACAGTAATGTGTGATCTCTTAACATCAGTTCATTTGGTTGATCTTCTAGGTTAACTTTTGAGTTGATTAAAGATAAACAGTGTCCCGGGCTCCCCGCTTACTAAACGCTCAACCATCGTCGTCTCTCCAAACCTTCCCATAGCACTCGACAACCGCCTAACCTCCTCCACCTATATTGTTACGCAAAGCAATTTTTGGAGGGTAAATATGGAAAGGTTGATTGTTCGTGCTTTGAGAGCTTACTGATGACTTATTTAGTTTCTTTGACAGTAATGTGTGATCCCTCAACATCGATTCATTTGGTTGATCTTCTAGGTTGACTTTTGAGTTGATTAAAGATAAATAGCTATACTTTTTGTTGCTTTTGTTATGATACTCCTTTTCAGTACCATCAATTTTCTGATTTGAAATATTTTTGTGGTTAGTTTCCAGTAAACAAAGACTATTCTGATTAGTGTTAACATATGGGATAACTTCAATCATACCACTTTTACACAAAATTTATATTTAAGAGTTGAGATCATTGCCGAATTGAAATATTCAAACTATAATGTTGATCTTCAACATATAAAACATGATTTTGTTTGAGTGAAATAACCTCATGATTGCAGATAAGTTTTTACAATATGATGTTTCGTGATAGTGGTCACTTGCTTCCATATTTAAAAGTGGGGTTCTAATTACTACAATATAAAGAGCACGAGTGATAGCGATAATTGGAGCATATACAAGATGGTTTGATATCCTTCTCTTTACAAGGAATAAATACATGGTGAGCATATGTTGTCATGGGAAGGACAAATCAAACTCTTTGTGTTTGTAGTATAGCATGTTGATATATACACATGTCTAGACCCGATCGATTAGACATATCCACCTGGAATTTATTGACGGGATTTTTGCTCATCAAAACCGCGTGCCAAGTAAGCTCCCTCCTTAATCCTTATATATTTTTAATCTGCACATGCACACCCTCATAGGAAACATGTACAGAATTGTAATTTAGGTGCTTCATTACTGTTGTTTCCATAAGATTGTATTATTTGAGGTGGTTGCTCTATAATTGTGAATCGTGATTGTATCTCCTCTAAGAAATTTTTAAGTTAAGCTATAAAAGAGGTTGACTTGAGCTTCCTCTTTAATTTAGATGGTAAGAGAGCAATGACCCACGTCAAATTGATTGGGGGTTGACAATGCCTGAGAAACAGTTTAGCCTTCTTCAAAGTATCACAAGATCTTGATAGTATCTCAACCAAAGCAATTTTTGTTTTCATTCTTGATGTTGATACAAGTTGTTTACCTAGAGGAGAGCCCCAACAAGTTAGCTCTTGGAGTTGCGATGTAAAAATGGGTAAGGCATAAATGGTTTATACAAAAGGCCATACTATGATCATATAGGCGTTGGTAGAGATAGTCATCAATCTCATTTTATTGATGAAGCCACCGAGGAGAAGAACGGAATCGCCATTGGTACTCTAAATTTTACAAGGCTATTATAATGATCATTCCTTTAATTTAATGTAAATTTGTATTATGACTGAAATGATATTACCCCAAGCCATTTATTGCAACAAGGAATGGTCGTTTGAATTAATGTGCACTGATGCAAAATGTTATGTAGTTGTCAAGAAGAAGGAGTAAGAGTGGACCAATCAATGTGTTTGCTGTCGAGAAGGATAATAATCATGATAATGGGGATGGTCCATGACAATTGACATATACAGATTGAAGTGATCGAAAGTACAGAGCTGTAAGTCATTTGTGTGTTTAGCGTAGCATATTGGTTATGAGTGATTTGTTAGGATTTCACAATGGTAGGGATATTGACAAAAGTCATTATGTGTTGGTGCTTCCACGCATATATTGCTTTCCTGTTTCTTTTGTTTGTATATGAGATTTCTACAGCATATTGCATGCTTTGTATTTCTTTTTGTTGTCATTTTAATTAGCAAAACTATATATCAGAAGAAACTGGCCGACGCATTCCATCGACTTGATTTGGACATTGCTGGGTTTTTTTTTTCTCAGCCAGGGATTCACCACCTCTGGTGTCACCTCTGGTTTTTGGGGAAGACTTGATGTTGAAGAAGATGGCTCCACTCCTCTAGCTTCTCATCCTTCTCCTCTCCTCTCCTCCTTCTTTTAGCTTCTCTCTCTAAACCAGAAATTCTATCTCAAAATCAGCTCTCTTAAAATGTGAGAAGAGTTCATCTATTTATCGACTTCAGGGGGACGAACAAGTTCACGGTCGAACAGGGGTAGATCGCGGTCATGATCTTTTTCTTCGAGACTGCGGTCTTTAGTCGTCGCCGCTTTGGTCTTCGTCTTCTGGGAGTTCGCGGACCGACTTCACCGTCGCGATCCGTGAGTCGTGGCTGTGAACTTCCTCGCGGTCGGGGTAGATGGTGATTGTAAATCCGACCGTCGAAACTTGCTTGTTTACTTTGCAGTTGTCTTAGTTTTTAAACCACAAACCGTTTGCTAAATAATGCTTAAACGATTGAAGTAGGGGTACATGGACCGATCCGAGTTGACATTTTAAAACGCTAAACCCTATATTGCACCCTACTAGAGTTAAATTTATACTTGGGCTCTAGTCGGGATTTTAATTGTGGTAGTCGGTGTGAGTCAATTTGATAATGGGAGGGAGAGAGAATTTGGGATGAGGAAGAAATAGAAGCGGGTATCCAAGAGAGAGAGAGGCCGATGGCACAAGGGGGAAGAGAGGGAGGAAGAAATTAGGTCTAGAGAACAATCGTTCTGTTATTGCTTAATGAGAACAACTTCACTAACACAGAATGTATAATTCGATTCACTATAACTACCCAACAATTAATCATAACAAAATACTCTCAAATAACCTCCAAATATTCAAACAATAATAAAGCAACAAATAAGTCCAAAATATAATCCTTGTTTGAAACTATATTTCTAAGAGGGAAGGATATGAGGACTTCATAATTACACGGGGACATTGTGGTATTTTCTCTTTATTTGTTATGAATACCATATCAAAGTCAAATAAGAACTTCTAATGTGACAAATCTCTAATAACTCATAAATTTATCACATTTAAAAATAATATAACATCTTGATTCAAAATACTATGTATCCAAAATTTTACATCTAAATCAACCGGCAAGCAAATCAACCCCTTGTAGACCGGCTTTACCTGATTCAAATGTGCAGGGATAGCTTACCGACATTGGAAAAGAATCGAAAAATCTATCACTGTAATTTTCCTCCTAAATCAGGACAAGAAACCCAAAGAAGAACCGTCCCATAATTTTTCTTACAAGAAAGGGAACGTTCAGAGTGAAAATAATCAATAAAGAAAGAGAGCAGAGTAGAAACGCGACACGGTCTGGCGCTAGCTGGCTGGTTGGTTCTCTCTTACTTACTGTTAATTACTCGTAGTGGAAACTCTGCTCCTCTTCTGTGTCACAGAGCTCTCATCCTTCAGACAGTCTCACGTTCACTACATCCACCGCCAAGGAAAAGCCAAAATATTCTCCTCCACTTTCTTTTCCCTTTTTCTCTTTTCTCTTCTCCCTCCTTGCGGGTGAATTGGGTAGAACAAACAGATCCAAGGAGCTTCCTTTTTTTCATTTCAATAAATAATTAGGGTTCTTCAGATACTTGTTGCCACGTTCTAGCTTCCACTCCATCTGAGATCTCTCTTTCTCTCTCACTTAGCTCTCAAAGCTTATATTCAAAAAAAAATAGCTCTCAAAGCTTCACTCTTTTCTTCATCATTGCTCCTTGTCTGAACACGATCTACTTTGAAAAGCTTACATCTTGGATATTGGTGAGAGGGAGCAGATCTTTGAAGAATACTGCTCCAGCCTTTGTTATTTAAATTTTATTGGGGGGTTTACCCTCTTCGTCTCCCCTTCTCTTGATGCGATTCGCCATCGGTAAGCATCCAACTACCCATCTGCCGATGATTTGCAAGATTGTTTCTTTTTCTGGAAAATGAAGTGCATATGGTTTCAGCTTTGCAATTTTGCCTTCTGTGTGTTGTTTAATATAGTTAATGGCTAAATGTGATTGGACCTTTTAGTGTACTGTTGTCTGTTGAATGCATTTAATTCCTCAACCTTGGATGGTGTTAATCCCTATTAATGGAGAATTCAGGTATTCCCCACTACTCACTCCCAATTATTGTACCTTGCTTTTGATTTGGTCTTCCCCATCTGAGTCCCATCCTGTCTATATGTCATGTTTCCTGGTGGTGTTATAGATAGATCAGCCTGCCTCTAATTTCCTTTCCTCAGTTAGTTTGAATTTTTTTCGCTTTGAACATACTAAACTTGACTTCTTAGCATTGATCTACTGGATCAGCTTTGGATCTGGTATGTGCTACATTTGGATCCAAAATTTCTCCAACTCCGAACAGAGAGCTGATTCGTTATGTAATGATTTGTTTTCCAGGGGGAGATAACCAATAACAATGGCGCCGAAACCTAATCCAGGTGATAACAGAACTAGGAGTTCGATCCAGATATTCATAGTAGCTGGACTGTGCTGTTTCTTCTACATATTGGGAGCATGGCAAAGGAGTGGTTTTGGGAAAGCAGACAATCTCGCCATGGAAATCACCAAAAACACTGGTGGGGATTGCAACATAATCTCTAATCTCAATTTCGAGACTCACCATGGTGGCGAAATCACCTCCACCGATGATTCTGTATCGGAGAAGAAAGTTTTTAAACCATGTGCTCCTAAGTACACTGATTACACCCCCTGTCAAGATCAGAGGCGTGCCATGACATTCCCTAGGGATAACATGATATATAGGGAGAGGCATTGCCCCCCAGAGGAAGAGAAGTTGCATTGTCTAATACCAGCTCCCAAGGGCTACGTGACACCGTTCCCTTGGCCTAAAAGTCGTGATTATGTCCCTTATGCGAATGCTCCTTATAAGAGCTTGACTGTGGAGAAGGCCATTCAGAATTGGGTACAGTATGAGGGTAATGTGTTTAGGTTTCCAGGTGGAGGGACGCAGTTCCCACAAGGTGCTGATAAGTACATTGATCAATTGGCCTCTGTTATACCAATTAAGAATGGGACGGTCAGAACATTGCTCGACACAGGTTGTGGGGTATGTAAAATATTTCTTCCTTCCTTCTCTTGCTACTAACTTTTGGTTCCTTTGCCGATATTTGGATCTATTTCTGATTTTTTTTTTTTTTTTTTGTTTTGCTCTGTAATTATAGGTTGCCAGTTTGGGTGCTTACTTGTGGAGCAGAAATGTGATTGCCATGTCATTTGCACCAAGAGACTCACATGAAGCACAGGTTCAATTTGCTCTTGAAAGAGGTGTACCTGCTGTGATTGGTGTTCTCGGTACTATAAAGGTGCCATATCCATCCAGAGCTTTCGACATGGCTCATTGTTCTCGGTGCTTGATACCATGGGGTGCCAATGGTGAGAGCATCCTTTGGCTACCTTGTTATTTTTGTTCTTTGTTTCTTTTACACATTTTCTTAGACCTGGTTATCGGGCTCTTCTGTAGATGGGAAATACTTGATGGAAGTGGACCGAGTTCTCAGACCGGGTGGGTATTGGGTTCTTTCGGGCCCCCCAATCAACTGGAAGGTTAACTACAAGGCATGGCAGCGTCCTAAGGAAGAACTTCAGGAGGAGCAGAGGCAGATTGAAGAGGCTGCCAAAATGCTTTGCTGGGAGAAGAAGTATGAAAAGGGTGAAATTGCTATCTGGCAGAAGAGAATGGATGGTGATTCATGCCATAGTAAACAAGATGAATCTCAAGTTACCTTCTGCAAATCTTCTGATCCTGATGATGTGTGGTATGTACCTCTGGATCTACAACTAACAAACAGGCAGTTCGAAAGTAATTTGTCCGTCCTCTTTATGCATTTGAATGTGTTTAGCGACAAAACTGTCTACATCCCATCGAGTTCTTTTTCTAGTGAGGTGGTTCTTAGATTAAATGATTGGTTGAGTCTACCATAAACAGCTTTGTGAAGGTTTCTGTTTTCAAGTAATTCTTTTTAAGCAGAAGGAAATGCATTATCTTAGTTGTGAATGATCATCAATGAACTCTGGAGGCCTTGTTCCAGAATTGAGATGTCTATATTTATAATAAAATGAAAATGATCAATACCATTATTTGAAATAAAAATTATCTGTTAGCTTTTCAGTTTTCTTATTCTCTAGAAGATAATTCTCAGTCGTTATCATAGCTATTTCATTAAGGATTTATTGTGTCATTTTAGAACACAAATAGGATTTTAATAATCATATACGTGCCCTCCTATATGTATAATCTTGATCAATGACTCTAGTATTAGTTAATGGACTTAAATTCATGATCATACCTACAATCAATTGCACATACATGCACAAATTCAGCCTATAATATATAATTGGCTTAAATATCAGACTTATGGTGCACACCCTAATGGCCGCTCTAGTGCATGGTGATTAACGCTTGCTCTTGGTGGCTGCCAGGTACCAGAAGATGGAGACTTGTGTCACACCTTATCCTGATACTAGCAGTTCAGCACTTAAAAATTTCCCTGAAAGGCTTTATGCTGTTCCACCAAGAGTTGCTAGTGGTTCTATTCCTGGAGTTTCAGCTGAGAAATACCAAGAGGACAGTAACAAATGGAAGAAGCATGTTAAAGCTTATAAAAGAATCAATAGACTTCTGGACTCTGGAAGGTACAGGAACATAATGGACATGAATGCTGGATTGGGAGGATTTGCTGCCGCACTTCAGTCTCCAAAGTTATGGGTTATGAATGTTGTGCCAACTATAGCTGAGAGGAGTACACTTGGTGCAGTATATGAAAGAGGCTTGATTGGAATCTACCATGACTGGTAGAAGTTTTCTGGGTCTTTTTCTTTTCTTCTTTGGATTATTCATTAACTTGGGTTTTGTACTGAAACGCTTTGGTTTGTCAATAGGTGTGAAGCTTTCTCTACTTACCCAAGGTCCTATGACTTGATTCATGCCAATGGTCTTTTCAGTCTGTACAACAACAAGTAAGCATTGCCTTTTCAGTTGTTGAAGTCTGTAAATAGTTCTCCGCTTTTTTATCATTCATGTTTATTATCTTCCTAGATTGTACAGTGGCTAGGAAGTATTGCTCTTAATTCTTTGGTTTGCTGGTGTTCTTTTGTTGTAGTCACATTGTTCTTTCCCTTTTGTGAAAGCACCACTGTTGATCTAGGTTACACTCATTCTGCGTACTGATAACTGCATCCCTCCTTTTTTCGTGTAAATTGCAGGTGTAATCTAGAGGACATCCTTCTGGAGATGGACCGGATTTTGCGACCAGAAGGTGCAGTTATAATCCGAGATGAAGTGGATGTACTAATCAAGGTGAAGAAGATAATAGGAGGAATGAGATGGGATACTAAGATGATGGACCATGAAGATGGTCCTCTTGTTCCCGAGAAAATACTGGTCGCAGTCAAGCAGTACTGGGTTGCAGGTGGTAACTCCACATCCACCCAGTGAGCTTCATCATCCATTGCCGCCAGTTATGTTTCAAAAGCACCTCCTTGAAGTAGCCTCTGGTAAAACAGAAATCCATCAGGCCATGGCTTCATGTGCTTGAATTATTTCTTCCTGCAGAGCAAAATTAGCAGAGGGGATGCTTTAATTTAAACCAGCACATGTTTGGTTTTGGTTCTTTCATGTTGTTAGCATATGGTGCTGCTGTGTAGTAGTAATACCATTGACAAATGCTGTGTAGTATAGCATTTGGTTCTTTAATGTGTCAATTTTTGGTGTACTCTTAGTTTTGTTCATCTGTCTTCTTTAATGTGTCAATTTTGTTATTATCAAGATTTTTTGTTCTACTTGGATCCACAAACACTTATATAACATTAGTATTTTATATAACATTAGTATTCTAATGTTGAATTAGGTGAAGAGAAAAATTGGAATAGAGACATATTTCACAAATAAAAGGGAACAATGTTGTGTGATTTCCAACTCGTGGGGTGTGACTCGTTTTTTTCACTGGGTCAACCGACGGATCAATTTGTGGGTTGACAATCTTGCTATTTCATGGAATGGGTTTATTTGCAATTTGTATCCTCTTTTATTTGACGACTGACTAGTGGCAGTGTGTTTGGAATTTATGTCTCAGTCAGTTCGAGGATGAGATCTGGACATAATGTGAAAGTCGAATGGGTAGTCATCGGTCTATCTCTCTCTTAATTTCTCTAGTGTCACTTCTTTATCTCTCTCTCATGCTATTTCATTTCTAAACTCCGTTCTCTATATTTCCTTCCAGATTATCAATGCATTTAATAGGATTTTAGGGTTTTCTATCTTCATGGTTAGTGGTCAATATGATTTTTTATTTATTTCAAAGGTGTTTGAAGTTTTGATGCTTCTGGAACAAACTTAACTACGGTGTCGCTTGGTTTTGTGATAGTTAGGTTGGGATAGTTACAATATATGCATTGTCCACAATGCATCGTTTTTTTGAATTTTCTGCACAAAAAATACATATATTATTTGCTTGATTTGACACAAACTATCACTCAGAATGAGTGATAGTTAAATCTCAAGTTTTGGTTGAGAACTTGAGATTGTTGAGATTGTTTTCATTTCTGTTTTCCTTTGCTTCATCTTCTTTTCTTTCATGCTTTGCCAATCCCTTTGTGGATTTATGAATTTCTAGACTGCTACCCCTAAGTGGATTTTGCCAAAACCTATCTCTTGAGATGGTTTTCTTCCACACCTCAGATCTGAGTCTCAGATCTTGTGGTCGTTCTCAGTGTGCAGAGGGAATTGCTTTGCAATTTACATCTTCTTTCGTGACTTTTAGAGCTGTCCACCTTGCTTCACTCAGAATGGCGTAGTGATTCGGTGGTTTGGTTTGATGCCTCTTGGTTCTACTGTCATGTGGGTGGGTGGGTGTAGGGATGCTGCCTCCTTTTCGATCTCTTGCTGCTCTGCTCATGTTTGTTGTTTGGCCTTGGATTGGTGGTGTTCGTGAGTCGCAGGTGATGGGGGTGTTGTTTTTTCACTGTTCTTCTCCTTTTGCGGGTGGTGGTTGTGGTTTACGGTGGTTGAGGTGGTGTGGTTGGCGTGCGTGATTTGGGGGCGACGGTGGCGATGTGTGTCGGCGGGGGTTGAGGGAGTGGATCTTTTCCCCTCTTTGATCATGTTGGCTTTGTTGGTGGTGGATTGTTTTTCCTTCCGTTTGGTGGCGGCGCGGTGGTGGGGGTGCAGAGGCAGGGCTGGTTGTTGGCGGCTACTTGGGGCAGCAAGTAGATGGCTGGTGGTTTGTGTTTGCTTTGGGCTAGGGTTGTGTTTGTGGGCTTCGTTGGGAGTGGATAGGTTGTTGGGTTTTTTGTTGGGTTCTTGGGTTTGTTGTGTGTGTTTTTTTTTTTTTTTTTTTTAGTTTTTCGGTGGGCTTCTGTGTTTGGTTGGGCTTTGCATTGTCGTTTGGGTCAGGCTTCTATCTTTCTATGACTACGGTCTAAACTCTGTATCACTTCCCTATTTCGTAATGAAATCAGGTTTTTGTAAAAAAAAACTATATCCCTACCTTTTTATGTATGTTGCTTTTTTAATATTAAAAACAAAGGGCAAAAGTGACATTTCATCCAAAGAGTAATATAATTTATTTCAATATTTGAATAACTATCACAGAAACCAAACGATGTAAATTACAATACACCAATTTTCTTATATACATGTATATTATTATGCATGCATTGATGACAATACATCATTTAACTATCACCAAAACCAACCGACCCGACATTACTTTACTCCTTTGGATGTTCAGGAAGAGCTCTAGAAACTACTCCTATGGCTACTTTACAGAGAAAGGGAAAAGTTTGCCATCGAGTATAAATTCCTTTGTACCTGCTCGTTTAACTGCTCGGTGCTTGACGCCCCTGGTACCCATTGTTTCCTTATAGACCATTTGATGGCTACAAGACTTCACAACAAGCTTGATGGGTAGTCTCCGTGCCATGGAGGTGTCTTGCGTTTTGACTTGTCCTGGTAGCTTACTTGACTTGGGGGTCTTACAGGCTTACTGGGGAATCATTGTGATTGTAACCTAGTTCCTTGATGATAGACTACCATGCTCGACACCTAGATGGGCATCTGACGACAAGGTGCCCATGATACCCACTGTTGACATCATGTGTGGGAGGCTAGGTATCCAAGGGGGCTAATGGTGATCAAGGCTAGTATATTATGCTCGATAGGTGGTGATGTTCATGTTTGACACCTTAAGGGTAGCTTTGTTGGTTAGGTACTATGATAGACGCTTATGATTGATGGCTTAGCAGAGAGGGTTCACGTGCTTACCCCCTTTTGGATGATGTCCCTTCCTTTAAAATTCGGCATTAGTTCTCGTCAATCTCTTGGAATAAAAAAAAGTTATTAAATGAAATATTTGTTATTGATTGAAACTAATGTTAGCATCATGCTAACAAATTGGGTGATAGCTTTCTAATCTCTATCCTCTTGTTGTGTTTCCCCAATTAGTTGATCGTGAAGTTCATAATTTTCATTTTTTTTAATAATGGTGAGAGCTTAAATTAAATTAGATGGAACCGAAGGAAGAGTATAGAGTACAAAGAGACGCAAGATCAGCTACCTACAAGGAGACGCAAAAACAAAAACAAAACGCAGCACAAGGAGTGCTACTCGACGAAAGAGAGTTGAGCCCAGCAGAAGACCCCTACTCCAAAAAAAAAAAAAACAAAGCCTAAGGAGGAGAGCAAAGAAACTAGATATAACGAAAGCAAGAACAAAGAAACGCAAAAGAAAGGGAGAAGGAAACTAATAACAGAGAAACAAAGCACCTGGCAACCACTACAAAGTTGCCCGCAAACCACCAGCCAACAGAAACCGAACGAAACCTTAACGAAACTCTACCCAACAAGCTCTGATCTCAACCAGTTACAACCTTGCTCCCTACCAATCTTTCCGTGCGCAACGAGCTACTCAACCGTTGATCTGATCACCTTCCGTGCAATTACCTTGGGCTCGTTGTTGATGTCTTGGAAAGTGCGCTTGTTTCCAAGGGGAATCGAGCTCTGGCAACACTTGTTTTCGGAGCAAGTCTCCAAATCGAATCAACAGATCCGTCGCATTGAGTTTAAGAAGGAAAGAATGTCGCACACAGAGATCCAGGGTGTAGCTAGGATCTCCCTTAAGGTGGGTCCGAAATGAAAATATATATGAAAATAAAGTTTATTAATGTTTACGATGACTCACGACGTGTTTCATATGTTGAAATGTTTCTAAAATAAATTTGTCATCCAAACTATCTAAGATGTCACTCTCAACATATGCTACCAAAAAATCATTTCATCAGTCATTCAACTTTCTATTTTGTTCTTCGTGTTGTTTATTGCTGAGAATACTCTTTTAAAACTTGCGGTGGCGACTAGTAACAACAACGCCAAGATGGGTCCTAGGACCTACCCTATTGTGCTCTGCCTCCGCTCCTGACAAAGATGCAATCGTCTTGACCTTCATTCACTGTATTCCCACTGTAACACTTTTCTTCCTATGTATATTTCATCTCCCCCAAAATTTCAAATCCCTTTGTAGTATTGGTTCTTCATTTTCAAAGGGATCTGAGAGATATGAAAGATGAAAGTCTCCCTTAAATTCTTCCACGAGCAGAAGCCATTGTTTCAAGCCACGGTTCTTCTATTCTTGCCTTACCTTCTAGTCCGCGATTGTCGCCAGCAATGCCGATGAGCTCTATCTATTCCTGCATGTCGACATTCTTCTATTCCTGATCTTCCTTCGAGATCACCTACCGCCAGGGGCAGAGCTAGGGTGGAAGAAGGCAACCTCTTGCCTAGTCTTCCAACAATAAAATATAGATATAATTGGAAGTGAAACATATCTAGAATAAAAATAAGATTTTTTTTACTGGAAATAAAAATTAGAATTTAGTTGCACCCCTAATTTTTAGGGGGGAAATATCAATACTTTTTTATCAACTTACAACAAAGACTAATATTTCTTATGAGAGCAGTTACCAAAGACTGATTAGTCTAAAATCAACACCCACACAGCTAAATTATAATTCTCTCATCGCCTATCTTAACTAAAAATCTCATTATTTTAAGTCATATAAGTGATAATTTCATAAATATTTTTTATATATCATACATCACAAATAAAATTCTAGATGTGACATTTTTAAAATATAAAAACGTCATGACATTTTTCAAACCGAAACCCCCTTATCAAATTCTGGCTACACCACCTCCTACCGCCCCAATGATTTGTGGAATCCGTTCTCGCTCGTGCTCATGATAGGAAGGAGGGTCATTCAACTCGCCAACATCGAGCCAGATGGCGATGCCTATCGAGTTCGAGACTTGACGCTCAAAGTATGATCGATTGATATAATGTCATGAATGATCATTTAATGAAATTAATGCAAAGGGACCATTAATAAAAGATAATTAGTTTTCTCCTCAGTCCTCAATGCCCGCCCGTCGTCTTCACACCACATCCAGAAGAAAAGAATCAAATCTTCCAAACCAGAACCAGCTCTCTCTCTCTCTCTCTCCCTCCCGCCATTCTACGCGCACTTTGATCTTTCGCTAAATAGTAAATATTTATTATTTCCTAATTCCAATTAATAATTGCCATGGCGGCTTTCTTCTTCTTCTTCCCCATACCTCATTCCTTAGTCAACGCCAGACCCACCTCCCATTTCGATCGTCATTCAGTTTCCCCCTTTCTCCCGTCTCCACCAACTCAAATTCCCCGGCAATGGGTCGCCGTCCGATCGACCCAGAATCCTCCCGCTTCCCATCTCTCACCATCCTCCTCGCCGGTTTCTTCTCCTTCGCCGCCGTCTACACCATCCTCTCCGTAGTCCTCAATCCAAACAACAGCCCGCCCGCTCCCTTTCACGGTTCGGCAGCAACGCTCCAGTCTCAGGGCGATGGCGAAGGAGGAGACGGCGGCTGCTGCAGGGGAATCGAGAAGCTGGAGCTGTGGGGACAGGCGGTGAAGTGGGGATCGGAATTCAAGTTCAATTCCTCCCAGGAGTGTTGCCAGGCCTGCAAGACGCTGTGTAGTGGGAACCAAGGGCCTTGCCTCTGCGATTCCTGGGTCTTCTGCGGGGACAAAGAGGCTTGCGGCCCCAAATTCGGCGAGGTTGAATTCTGGTCTCATACTGAGCGTTTGTGCACTGGAGCGAGCTTCTTGATTATATGTGCTTATGTATTAATGGTGAAATTGGGTGACAGTGTTGGTTGAAGAAGCAGAAGGATGTATTGGATCCTGATAGGCAGGGAGCTGGGGAGACTACAATGTGGACTTCTGGGCTCGTCTTTGGGAGAGGAGAGGTAACCTATTTAACCACCATATCTCCATCCATATCGCCCACCATTTATGCCCTTCTTCTTTGTTTAATCTTTTTAGCTTGCTCTTCTTCTACTCCAATTCAGGGTATTGTCGGCTTGGAAACAGAATATGGCACCCTTCACATCAAAGTAAGCCTTCCTCTTTCTTCCTTTCATGGTCTTGGCTAGTTTAGTTGCCACAATATGAATAATTCGGTCTAGTGAGCTGAAGAACATAAATTAGGAATAGCTGCTTCAGACCGGCAAATTGAGTTATGGTCTTCATCTCATGTGAATGATGCTTCCTTTGAATGAGTTAGTGCTTGCTTGATGTTCTTGCAGCTTTTTCCAGACTGTGCACCACGTTCTGTAGCTTACATCCTGGAGTTGCTAACCTTGCGCCACTGCGCTGGCTGCCAGTTTTACCGTGCAGAAGGCCGAGGGGATTCATGGGACTCAGAAGGAAACCACATAGCTAATGTAAAAACAAAATCATCTCGTCTTCTGGAGCTTTTTCACGAGTGTATATATATATTCAATCTCGAGTTGGCCAAATATTGCAGGCTGCATTTGGGCCTCCATTTGCCTTGGTGCAAGGAGTAGTGGAAGCTCAGGGAACACCGTTCAAAAGAGTGGAGAAAGAAGCTTGTCCAACGGTGAGAAGGGGTTCGGTTGCATGGGTTGGCTCTGGGCCAGAGTTCTTCATCAGCCTGGCCCATCACCCAGAATGGAAGCATGAATACACAGTGTTTGGCTCTGTGATGCCAGAGGACATGGGGATTGCTGAGAAGATCGCCCAACTCCCCACAAAACCAGATGTGTGGAACGGCATCAACGTGTCTGTGCTTCAAAAACCGGTTCCATTGATGTTCAGGAGAAGCCAGATAAAGCGCCAGGGAGATCTTTAGTCAACTGCGAGATAGGGTTCATTTTGTGGCTTCTTTTCTTCTACAAATTCCTCACGTAATATATGGTGAAAGTTTTTTATTCAACATTTTCCCAGTGTGAAAGTCACAAACGGCAGAGCTATTATACCCTGATCTTCTACTTTCAGCTTCGTATTAGCAAAAGCGCGAATGCAGAAAAACTGCAGTTTACACTAGTTCGTATTATGCTGCCAGTATAATGAAAGGCTTTTGAGCCTGCGTTTAACGCGATCACCAGCAGAGATATCTGCCCTTGGTTCCTGGTAGGAATCATTCAGTGGAAGTTGTTCAGACGACAACCCGAAGAGGGAATTTGTGCTCATCTGTTCAACTTGCATTAACCTTTTTATCCTTGCTCTTTATGGCTTTATCTGAAAACTTCCCGACGAAGCTGCAAATCTTCCGGCCATAGTACAGTTGCAATCATATCAACAATGGAACCAGTAAATGCAACTAAAGATCATTGGCCACCCCTGAAAATGCTCCTGAAACAGATAGTCATTAACATTTATCAAAAGCAAAGGCAGGGACAGTCAGTTTCCAGTCACCAAGAGATTCAACAGGAAGCTGCATAAAATAAGTGTCACAGTCCCAGATCATGTTGAACCATGGAAAAGATGCATTGAACTTTACATGGAGATACGTCTCTCTCTTCTCCTCTCTCTAGAGATATTTTTAAACTCATGAATACCCATAACAAATAAAGCACAACAAATATCATTGAGATTTAAGAAAAAAGCAAAAACACAATTAGTGGTGGTACATCCTAGTAACAACAATGCCTTCTTCCCCCCCTAAGGATTCAAGTTCAATCATCCTTGAACTCTTTAGCAGGCCGCGCTTCAAATCCCCCACCTCGTCTCTTTTCAAGCGAATACGGCATATAGGTTCCCAGAATTCGGTCCCACGTTACAAAGAACGGCTGAGAGAAGTTGTACTTGCTTCCATACAGTTGATGGTGGATGTCATGATAAGCAGTGTTGTTCTTGAAGAACAAGTGGAAGGGGTTCCCAGGTAGCCACAACCCACAGTGGTCATCCACCGTTTTGATGGTGGCAAACGAGAAGAAGAAAATGGAGGCTCGGGGTGACATGCCGGAGAGCAAGAATGACAGGGCCCCACCAACGGTGTCGAGTAGCAGACCCTCCACCGGGTGATTGTACAGAGCTCCATAAGCGTATGGAACTACTAGACGGTGGTGCTGGGAATGGATGTGTTTGTAGAGGAACTTGTTTTGATGCATGAATCTGTGCATGAAATACTGCCAAGTGTCTAGGATCACCATTGCTGTGATGAACTGCACAGCCAATACTGTTAGAGAATAACCCTGGCCGGATCCGGCTGTTTCATCATCGCTTCCCATAACCTGCATAGGAAAAGGGGAATCAAAGCAGTAGAGATTATTTAATGTTTATATGTTCTGTTCTCTTGGCTCAGTAGAGATAGGAATAGCAATCGAAACATCCCCCGCAAGAAGCAAAGGGACAAAGAAAGAAACAGATTTGACCACATTGCGCCAAAGAAAGGAACATACTGAAAGCCAGAGAATCTGTGCAGTAACAAAGAAGGATAACATATGACATGCTATTCTGTGTGTGATGTGTGACAAAAATGGACTGGCCAAGTTGAACACATACAACACGGCTCTTCCTCTCTGTTTTAATTCTAAAGAAGAAATAACTTCCAAAGAATATATCTCAAGAGCTCTTGCAATCGCTTTCTCATTAACATAATTGGCAAAGTTATGAGACCCCTGATTAGCGAACATTCCCTTTAGCACAAGACAAATCTAATACTCCACATGGATCAATTATGTCTTCCACAATTCAAAGCACAAGGATTCATCATCCATCAACGGCAGAATTGCTTCAACCTAACCTTAAACCGGAACAGAACAATGGTTTCACGAGAACTCTATACAGCTCCAACTATTGGACAGAAATAAGAAAATTCTGCAGACTGAAGTAACAGGAACCCACTAGCTATCTCTTCTTACTTAGTTCCAGTAGCAGCAGAAGCAAGAAAGGTGAAAGCACACATCCAGACTTTTTCTTCCATACTCGAAACAATATTAAAAGACTCCCAACTTTGATAAGATTGTACAATCAGTTTCTGTTCAACACTTGTCTTAACTATCCACGAAAAACACCAGTAAATCAATCAACTTCCTACAAGATAAGTGTGGGATTTCCAAAAAAAAAACCCAGTAGCAGAGGATCCTCACAAAAAAGTTCTTCTACCAGTTAAGTGATTCCATTTCACCAAAAGCTAAAGCAAACCCAAATTTTCCCAATTCAGCGACAACGTATCAGCTGCTCAGCTGCCGGTGAATCATGAAAGCTTTCCCGCCCCCCAGTACAATAGAAAACAAGCCATCGACGATTGATTCGCAAAGGGAAAGAAAGACGTACCGCAAACAAGAGGGTAGCAACAAGTGCTTGAACAGTTTGCTGACAGAGGACGCCTTTGACGACAGTCCATTTGGAGACCAAATTCTTCTCGTCCTCGTCCTGCTTCGAGTGCAACCTATAATCCTCGAGCCATTCCAAGAGGCAATATATCCCTGAATAACCCCAATACACCACAATCGGAACAAACGTACCCAGCAATTCGTCCGAGATTTGATAACCCATAATCATCAAATATGCATCCCCAACCCCCCAAATAGAGAAAGAAAAAGAAACCCCAAAAAAGAAGAAAACCCCCCTTTTCTATATTTCCCCCAACGCAGCACGACGGCGATCAGAAGAAGGAAGACGACGGGAGAACAGGGACAAAAGGAGGGGAAAGGGAGTGAAAAGGGGCGATAATTCCACGATGAAGGAGAAAGCAATGGAATTATGAAGGAAGTATTTCGCTGCCGTAAGGTATAATATAATAATAAGGGAAATTAAAAATAATTCCGAAGCAGCCAGCCACCGATTAAGAAAAATAATTTGGGGATTTTAGGTTAAGAAGAGGATTGAAGATTCGGAAGCTTACAGACACACAGCGAGGAAAGAGAGTGAATTAAAGAGCGAAGCTTTTTCCTCTTCCGTAAGGAAAATTAAATAAATATTTTCATTTTTGGTGCTGAAAAGTCATGTGTTTCTTTTTTCTTTGTAAAATATCTATCAGTGGGAATCTCGAATTAGGGTGATACGTGGCACACTATCATTGGTGCAGTTTAGTCCTCGTCACTTCCACCACAACAACGAACGACAACAGGCGCCAGGCGGCCTGTTCTGGTAGTCACTTGTTCGTCGATCAATTACACAGCTGGTCATTTATATTTTGGGTCACTGACAAAAAAGTCACTGAATCTTTCATTTTGAAAAATTTGTCATGAAATTTTGTAGTTATCGATTCGGATGAGTTGGACTACTAATGTGGAGTAGTCTAAATTTTAAAGACAAATCCATCGAACATTAAAATTTAGGAATATGGTGTATTATAAGTCCAAATGTTACCATCATTCATGTAAGTGATCCCTTGTTCATACTCTCTCGAGGTTTCAAGTTGATTTCCAGCTGACATCGAATTTGAGAGTACAAATCTTTTTTTCAACGTCCATAAAAATTTATGAGAGGGATGATCTTGTCATTTCCTCTTCCTCGTTTCTTAGAAAGCCGACGGGTTCCACTTCTAACAAGTTTCAGACCAAAGCATAACTAGGATTGTGTACAAGAGCAAATCGAGGTAAGTATGAAAGTCGGAGGTGTATTCCGTAACTGAAGCATAGTACATGAGCCAAAATGGTCAGTAACCGAAAGAAGAAGTAGGCAATAAGTTGTAAGATTTATTTATTTTTAAACAAATTTAATTTTTCTTTTATATGAAAGTCAGAGGTGACAAACAATGAAAGGCGCCCAATTTGACTGTCATTGGAAACTGGCCTCACTTCCTGAATGTGTCGGCTGGGAACTTCTAAAATTATAAAACGAAAAAAAAAAAAAAAACCTTGTGGTTAGGACACGTAGGACAGAAACAAAATCTGGACCTATGCCCTCTTGGGCTTTTCACTTTTGAGCCCTGCAGCCATATTTAGGCCCATAACAACTGCGCTTAACCTGCTAATCCAAATTTAGGCCCATAAAAGAGAAGAAAATATCAGTTTTAGTGGACTAATTTGGAGAAAGGATTTGGAACACTGATTCATTCAATTTATAGATTTTGCAATCATTTCAACTAGTCATGCTCAAATCATGGCAAAGTTCCGCTCGAATCATTAACCCTCATATTAAAGGTAAAATTTGTTATTTGATAAAAAATATAATTTCTATGTTAATTATAGCAATACCAAAAAAAATGCAAAATTAAAAAAAAATTAACAATTCAAAAAGTTAGAATATTTGAATTGTTTACAATCTAGAGATTGAGACTCAAATTCTCCAAATAGTCCCAAAATTACAAACTTTATCGAGGATTGGTAACCGATGCCATTTTTACTTAAATCACACTATCTTAAAAAATAAAATTATCTCTTAAGTCGCACGGAACTATTGTTTTGTTCTAAGGAGGATAGTTACAAAATAATTTCATTTTAAATTAGGATGATGATAGTAATATTAGAGTGACATTTAGCAGTGGAGAGCTCCATATGGTAGTTGTTAAAATTAATTTAAACTGTAGTATATCAGAGCTGTGATTTCCAAAATTGGCGGTTGTGATTCTGTACACAGTGATGGGAAACAAAATTGATGATGGGAAGAACACAAGTACATCAGGGTAGAGACTAGAGAGAGCCTATCCCTCAAGTTAAGCCTCCAGTTCATTTGTGTTGCCATTAGGAACTTCTCTGAGAAAGTTGAGGCTAGTTTGCCTGGCTTTCTTGCAGGAACCTGAAACAAACCAGCAAAAGTTAAAGTTACTTCAACCTTGGAATAGGTTGGAAATCAAGAACCAAATGGAAAATCGGTTCTCCACCTTTCGAGTTATTCTTATTCGATTCCATCACAGTGGATTTCCATTTCTCATAGCCTGCCTTCTCCGTCCTTTTGCGCTTCTTGTAGCTGGAAACCTGCACATTGATTGTGTCACCAATTCAGCAAAATCATTCACCAATCTCAGTTCCATGGAGGATTTCAGCTCCAAGGCAACCACCATTCAACACTGACCAAGATGCTAAAACATGCAACTAGCATCCATAAGTATGCATTACTCTCGGCAATGGTTATCTATTCTTCAAGGCAACTGATGTATACACATTAAGCAAGAATGTAAGTTGCAGTAGTAGTACCTCTGGTCCATCATCAGATAGATAACCTCCTTCCTCCACCGTCCTTTTCTCAGGTAACACATCAAGCAAATCTGGTACCAGTTAAATGATGAATCAGAGCAACCAATAAAATGAACAGAAACAAGCTTCAATAAACCAGCCATGGTTGATCAAATTTATATGCTTTTTTTTTCCATTTGAGAGAAAAAGTACCTCGGTTCCCTTTCACCTCTCTTGGATCCATCTTTTCCTTTGAGATGCCAAAGACATCATAGCAGAGATCTTTCATGCAGGTTGAGACCTACGTATCAAATTTCAAATTAGCACATAGATTTATCTTGAACTGAAGTTATGTGCAGCAAGAGATTTCAAGTAAAATTGTGAGTCTTACAGATAGGAATTCAGATTCGGATGTGCCACATACTTCAATGAGTTTATCTTTGTCTATCTTCAGCTGTCAATTATACAACCATTGACTCAGTATAAGCTTAAGAACTCAAGAGATCCTTACTACTTCCTCAAATCAAGGTGATATAAAAAGACATCACTTACTTTCTGCTTCTTTGCAGAAAGATAGAATGCAACAGCAGTGAACACAGGCCTGGTGAAGTCAGCACCCGCACGCCTTGAAGCTGGCAACGATGCAAGAAACCGGTCCTTGTACCTAGAATCGAAAGATTTGATGTTAAGTAACGAATAAAACCAAGCAGTCACCCAACACCACCAAAGCAAGTAATGCTTAAATCCCAGCAAAACCATAACAAATCAAAGGAGGCAGCCAATCAGCCAAACTAGGAACTTGATTCTGAGGGGCATTTTCACAAACACATTGCAGACAATGCATTGAACACTCGAGCTTCCATCAAAACGATCCTAAAAGTGATAATCAGAGAGAAAGAATCTTACAGTGATAAACCCTTCTGCACTGAAGGGATTATCCTAACACATCCGAACTGAATAGCCAATTCTCTCACATCCAGCTTTGTCCTGCAAAACCCCCCAAAACCATCAGCGACACAGAACCCATTTACTCAATCACAACTTAGATTAAGAAAGGGAAAGAAAAATTGAACTTGAACCCTAAATTAAGCATAGCAAAGAACCCACTTGACACCAATGCTATTCTGAAGCAGATTGAACGATCTGGTGTAAGCCTTCTCCGACAATCCGCTCAATTTTGTTGCTGCCCGTCTATCGAATATCACTTGAAACCTGCCCAATCAAATTCCCAGTTCATCAAAATCACGATAACTAAGCTACGTGATACGGAATATAATAATGGTCAATTGGAGATCAGAAGAGATACCTCGTGGCGGCAATCTCCAAGCACATTACAGCCTTAGATACCTCTCCCTACAATCAGAAGAAGGAAAAAAAATACCCAATAATGATTAAAACGAAGCAGAGAGAACGAACCCAAAGACGGAATCGACGAATCGATAATGAGAGGCGAGGGGGAGACTCACCACTCCGATGACGGAGGAGTCGAACTGGACGTCGCAGAGACGGCGGATCTCGGCGGCTTTCCGAACCAGTTGCTTGGAGTCGGAGAGGCCGAGCCGCTTTGCGATTTCGGAGATATCCATTTGGAAGGGGGTTTCTCAGCTGGAGTTTTGATCTCTCACAGGCGAAGGGAATGGTGAAACTAAGAATGGAGGAGCGCCCGAGGGTGATAAATGGCGGGATGAGGGAGTTTTGGGGGGGATTGGTTGGTTCGCCATTTAGTGGTTTTTTGAAAGTTTGGCGCGCTTGTAATTTTCACTGTGATTTTCCCGGCAACTGTTTTGGCGCCTTTGGTCCACTGCGGCCCATGGTATAAATTAATAACCCCAATGAACGGGCTTGGCCAGCTCAAATGACGAACTAAGGTTGTCAAATCGATTTATCTATATCATTGTTTCGTTTTAAAAAGTAAAATGGTTCGATAAGTAAAATAATTGGTTTGTACCGGTTCATGTTGATTTAACAAAATATGTAGAAATATGAAAATCATTAACATGAATATAAAACATATTTGTAGACAATTTACTTATCATCCATATTCATATTTAAATAAAATACGAAATTCAAAATAAAATAACTAATATTCGTATTTAAATACAACATTTAACGTCAATATCTAAATATTTGTGCTTGAATCTAATAAACTATATAAACTTTAACTATTAAATTCATAAAATAAATAATGTTTTCATTTTTTATTAATTAAGTTCACTAAAACAATGTCATTTTGCTTAGACTTTGTAAATCAATCATGCAGTGGTATTCTTGTCGGTCTCATGACTAACACCAGTTGAATCAAGTTGAACCGGCCAGCATGCCATCGACATGACACCCCCAGTATTGAAGTTGGACTCTTGACCAAAAATTGGGTCGTTTAGTTCTGATTGAGCTTGTTTTGATTGAGCTTCAGGACGGCGAGGCACAAGTTTGCTTGGATTCCAACTGTTGAGATGATGACGACAACTAACAAAACGACCAGAAACCCTCATTGATCTCCACAAACCCTCATCGTCACGTCGATATGCAGAACTGGAAGATGAAGTTGGCCTTTTCAAATCGAATCGATGTGGGTTTAGGTACTTAGCAGCGACGACGAAGGATTTGAGTTGGAAACGTTGGAAGGTGAAGATGGCGATGATGATTTTTGGTCAGATTATGGGTTGCGATAACTAGTATTGAGGGCGAGGTTGGCGGGTATGGGTTGACGAAGATGTCTGATAGTAAATGGTATATGATCCATAATTGAACATCTTATGGCAACTTGAGTTATGAGATCAACTGGTTCTTGACATGGTTCCAGAGCTTTCTGCGACCAAGAGGTCTTCACTTCGAATCTAAGTGACCCTTGTCTATTTTGTTAAGCACATGATGTCCGGTCTTGTGTAAGCTTCAAGCCCATATATGGTGGCTTTTGTTTGGGGGTTTGTTAGTAAATGCTATATGATCCGAAATTGAACATCTCCCAACAATTCGAGTTATTAGGATCACCGTTCTTGACACCAATCACATCCCATCACCCTTTCGTGAGATGGCCAGGAGAGCAGAGCTGGAGGGAGGGAAAGGAAGATGACAACGAATGTGGTATTTCTTTGCGAGGTGAACATTAGAGCTGGTGTGAGGGAGAAGAAAGACGTCGGCCGCTGAAGGAAGGGGATTGTGTGGGTGAGGACAAGTTTGGGTTTGGTTCAAATTAATAGGGATAAAATTGGGATGAAAAAATCAATAGTGATAAATTTCAAAATAGCTGGGGATCAACAATTTTGAAATCCAGTATATGCAGGTTTTCAAAATACTTCGACCCCAAAATCTCTCATTTATACACCCAAAAACAAATAAGAAAGAATATAACAATACAACACAATATAAAACTACCAAATAAAGCGTCCCGTCCAATGGGCGGGCAAAAAACTAGTTAAGTGTTATAAACTTTGTATCTATCTTATTAGTAATGCAAGAGTTAAGAACATATGGAAGTTACAAATTTTTGAACCACTTTTGCTAGATTTAGATTGCCATAAAAATGGATTTTTTATTTTATTCCAACGATTTACTTTCCTAATATATATTTAGCCATATAATAATTCTACCAAAAGAGAAAAAGCCTTTCATATTGATAAGATAAAAAACTAAGAAATCATATATATTTTTAATAAATTCAACCTTATCCTTTCCAAGAATCAATGTTTCTCTCACTTACAACTTCTTATAAATATCTGAATGTTACTGTCCAAAACCAATCTCAACTTAAGAAACACGATACAATTGCTTTGCTCAAAGAAGAATACATTACTCCTACACAAAAAAAAAGACAAATATATAAATTACACTAATCAACCATGAAAGGGTCGTCGTCTAGAATTCTCGTTCTTCCTCTACTAGTACTCCTTCTCATTGCTGGTAATTTTTAACTATTTCGGTCTAGCATAATTATTCACTTTATTTATCATTTTATCGTCGATAAATGAATTGTATTGGTTCGCCAAAATTTTACTTTCAGGTGCATTTCTATTTTCTAGTTATATTGGTTCATGAAATTGGCAAATGAAATTTTATACGATCCTTAAAAACCTAAGATTCCCCGTTTATATAATAAGGATATGAATTATACACCGAATTTAAATTTATAAGTTGTATTACCGTGAGTCGTACCATACACAAATAGCTCATGTAATGCTACATGAATTTAGATTTTAATTTCGTTGTTACACTAACACTAATAGGTTTTTTTTTATTGATAGTCAATTAGAGATGGATAATTAACGAGTTTATAATCTTTTTTGTTTTGTTTTTGCAATGATTATAATATACAGTTCAGAAGGAAGTGATGGGGGAGCAGACAAATAAAAAAGTGTGCAAGGTCGGGCTTATCCCTCCTGCTAAACAAGGAACTTTTGGGTGTGAAGCTTTAAACTGTGACTCTCTATGTAAAGAGACTTACGGACAACCAACCATTGGATTGTGTTATTTTATTGTCTATTGTGCATGTTACAAGCCTTGTTAAAAAATTTCACTATTGAATCATGATGTGATGATCAGTGATATAAGGCCATTATGTTTTTTTTATAATTAATAATATTAGATTTATGAGTTCTTTTATAAACAAAATCAATCAATTTGATATACTTTCGTAATTTTTCCTTTTGGTTTCTAGTGTTACAATTACAAAGTCGTTGTCTGCAGCTTCCTTACAATTTCTATGGTAAGTATGTGAAACTCCTATGAAATGTCCACACAATTGTTGTCCACAATGAAGACACTTGACCTCAGCAATCGACTTTTTCCCCATGTCCACACAATTCCTTACGATTATATTTCTCCCCATGAAGACACTTGACCTCAGCAATCGACTTTTTCCCCATGTTAATTACGAAGTTGTTTCTTCGAAAAGGCATCCATCCACGGTTACTTGGCTACTATTTCAACCAAAACTAAATTTCTTTCTTTTCGTTGAATACCAAAAACTAAATTTCTAAGTGAATTGAGTAAAATTATTTATAATTTTGATAAATAGGGTAAACATGAGAAGAATTATGATGGATCGGGTGAAGAAGAATAATCGTATCAATCTCATCCTTACATACTAGCTTGGACCCGGCCAGTTGGCCGGAATACATTTAGGACCACGTGGGCAGAAATTACAAATGAAAGGTAAAAAAACAAAAACAAAAAGTTAATGTAATTACGGCTGGTTTATCTCCACATAAATAAGTACAGTAGTGGGATTTCGGGTGCTTTGGGCTTTATAGCTGGCCCAACTAAATAGTTATCTCGTGGGCTGGGACATGAGTTAGATTAAATTAACTAGTATCATTTGGGCGGGAAACAGAAAATTAAGATATTGAGATGAACTAATATACCCTTCCGGAAATGAATGCTCAATTTTTATCAGACTTTGTTTACCTCTGAAACGCAGGTTCCTAATATGACTGAGAGGGTGGCGACTCTGCCAATTGCCCGTATTGTCACTCCGCAAATGAATGCTCAATTGACGACAGAGGTTTTGCCTAGTGAGGTCCGGAGTACGGTCTTTTCCATGGGTTCGAAACAATCCCCGGGATCGGACGGCTTCACAGGGAAATTCTTTAAAGCTTTCTGGGATATAGTGGGCACTTCTGTGGTTTAAGTAGTAATCTCCTTCTTTACCTCGAGTCGGATGCTGCGGAGATTTAATCATACCTGGCTCACTTTGATCCCTAAAGTGGAATCAGTGGAAACAATTAGACAATTGCGCCCGATTAGTCTCTGTCAGTTTGTTTACAAAGTGATTACTAAAATCATGGCTGAACGACTGGCTGGCATGCTCCCGCGGATTGTTTCGGAAGGCCAAAATGGTTTTATCAGGGATCGGCAGATCATTGATAATATCCTTATAGGACATGAACTAATGCATTACCTGAAAATAAAAACGCAAGGAAAGAAGGGATACATGGCTCTGAAGGTTGACATGGAAAAGGCCTATGATAGAGTCGAATGGCCCTTCTTGCTTGCAGTTTTGGATAAGATGGGTTTTAGTTCAGTCTGGCAAGGATGGATACATGAATGTCTTCGATCCTCCTCTTTCTTGGTTCTCATGAATGGTACGCCCTCGGGATTTTTCACGGCCTCTAGGGGCCTTCGCCAAGGAGATCCGCTCTCGCCTCTCTTGTTTGTTCTCTGCACGGAGGGGTTTGCAGCCCTTCTTCGGCAGGCGATCACGGAGGAAAAATTAGAGGGGGTAAAAGTAGCTCCTCGTGCTCCAAGAATCTCGCACCTATTCTTCGCAGATGATTCTTATTTATTCTTACGTGGTTCTCTGCAGGAGTGCGAGAATTTGATCGAGGTGTTGAATGAATATGAGGAACTGAGTGGTCAACGCGTCAATTTGGATAAATCGGCGGTGTGTTTTAGTAAGAATATTTCCACGCCTGATCAAGAGTTCTTGGCCACGATTCTAGGGGTTGGGGCGGTGGGGGTCCACGATAAATATCTGGGGCTTCCAACGCTAGTTGCCCGGTCCAAAACAGCTACGTTCAGATATTTGGAGGAAAAGCTTCTAGAGCGACTTCAGGGGTGGAAGCAAAGGACATTGTCGTGGGCTGCTAAGGAAACATTAATTAAATCCATAGCGTTGGCTCTTCCTATTTATGTTATGTCCTGTTTCCGGCTTCCCCTGACTCTTTGTCGACTTTTAGATAAGCATGTGGCCCATTTTTGGTGGGGTGCGGAGGACGGGAATCCTAAGATTAGATGGGTGTCCTGGCGTAATATGTGCAGAAGTAAGCATGATGGGGGGATATGATTTCGCCAGTTCGAGCATTTCAATCAAGCTCTTTTGGCTAAGATAGGCTGGCGTATCCTCAATGAACCTCAATCACTTATTGCCCAGGTCTATAAAGGCAAGTATTTCCCTCAAGGGTCTTTTCTAACTGCGACTGCTAGATCTCGACCCTCTTGGGGGTGGCAAAGTATCCTTCATGGGCGTCAGTTATTGGAAAGAGGGTTGAGATGACAGGTTGGCAATGGTCAATCGGTCTCTCTTCTCCAGTCTAACTGGATTCCTGGGTATCAGCTGGATCCCCCTTCCTATAATCCCCGGATCTTGCCTGAGGGGGGTGATCCCTTGGTGGCGGAGGTTATTAGTGAGGGGGGAGGGAGGTGGTCTGATGGGATGCTCAGTCAATGGTTTGACCCACCCACTTGTAAGGCTATTAAATCTATTCCCCTCCCGCGTCAGGATGTACCGGATAAGCTCATCTGGCATTTTATGACGGACGGGGTCTTCTCGGTTAAGACGGCTTATCATTTGGCTGTCGATTTGGACAGAAGGAGGGGGGGTGGCGTTCCTCGGTTAGCTGGATGGATAAACCGAGTTGGATAGAGTTTGGGAGGCTAAAATCCCTCCGAAGTTGAAGGTATTTGTTTGGCAAATTCTTAATCGGGCTCTGCCGACTATGGAGGCGCTTATTGAGAAAAGGTCCAGGTGCTACCTCGGTGTCCAGTTTGTTGGGACGGCCCTGAGACAATGGAACACTTGTTCCTTTATTGTCCAGTGGCGCGTGCTCTCTGGGATTATTCTGGGCTGGAATACTTGGGAGAGGGCTTGCCTCGGCAGACTTTTCCGTTGTTTCTCAAGCGTCTATTGGGTTTGATCCATCAACCGTCGGTGGTTATGGCTGTTGTTGCCATCCTTTGGAGGATCTGGCGATCTCGAAATTGGGTGGTCTTTGAAGGCAAGCAATTTGGGATCCCAGCTCTTATGCGCCAGTTTAATCAGCAGTATGAGGAATGGGTGGGGCTACCAGCGAACCAGGCGCCTAGGGCACAAGCCCCGATAATGCGATCTACAGCACAATTGGATGATTCCCATTTGGTTTGTATGTGGGACGGGGCTACTAAGGGTGGGTCTCATTCGGCTGGTGGGATGGTTCTTTTTGATCCCTCGAGGACACTCTTACTGGCTAGAGGGATCTAGTTTCCTCAAATGGATGATCCTGCAGTGGTGGAATTGCTTGTGCTTCGGGAGGCTATTATTTGGTGTATGGAGCAAGTTTTGTCGGCGGTCCGATTTGAGGGCGATGCGAAGGTGATAATTGACAAAATTAATCAGGCCGACACAAGAGATAGCCAGTTGGGTGCTGTGCTTGAAGAGATTGTTCATTATTTTCGTGCTCAGTCTGGCTTTAGTGTGCGTTTTGTAGGTCGGGAGAACAATAGGGTAGCTCATTTGGTAGCTAGGAAAGCCCTCTCTTTGTATCCGACTATGAGTCGCTTCTTTGATTTCCAGACCTGACTGGTTTCTAGGGTGTAACTATCTTCTGCTCTGATCAATATATGATATCTTTTGACAAAAAAAATGACTCCTTTTTAGGAGTCATTTGGATGTTGGATATTAATTTAGGATGGTTGAGCATCCGTCGTTTAGAGTACCAGAAATGAGTCATTTGGATGTTGGATATTAATTTAGGATGGTTGAGCATCCGTCGTTTAGAGTACCAGAAAATATAAATGCTAGTTTACTCTTCTTGGCTAACACTTTGTTAGTGAATTTGGCATATTATGGCATTTTGGCAATTGTTTCAATGAAAGGCTCGTGGATGTTGATTTTTCCTATTGTATCAATCATTTTTGTAAACTCAACATCCTGTTGTGCTTTGCTTTTTTTTAGTTGAGTAGGATTAAGAGTTTCTGGCATAAAATTCATTGGACTAAGATTTATAGGCAAATCTACCTTTGATGTGTTCTTTTTGGCCGAAACAGAGTTAGAACCCTCGCTGGCTCGAGTTGGGCCGTCCCTAGGGGTTGGGTAGGTGGATTTTAAGGTTTCCCTTGCCCCATTGTAACCCCTTATTGATTTCCTCACTTTTATGAACTAGTGGATGCCTTGGAAGGAACTCTAGCTAAAGTGTAATAAGGGGTCCATTTGGAGAAAGAACAAAATATTAGTAGTATTAGTTAGTTAATGATTATATTTAAATCCTAAATTTCAATGTTAATCGTCAAATCTTCTAACGTTAAATCACAACAAACTAATAAATTAATTTCATCTACTATTTCTACATGAAAATTAGTTTCTATCAATGTATTTGCTTGTGAAAATAGATTTGATTTGCTACTAACATCGGTCAATGCAAGTAGATAAGATTTTATGCTATGAAACGATTGATCAGCCTTCGCATCTAGTGAACTAAAGTAGTGAATGGTTATTCGATGGGATATATTAAGTGCGAAATCTTGATAATTTGGCCGATTCATATAGTTATAGAATAATTTCTCAATATAAAACACGAGACCGCGTATATAATTTTTTTATGGCACTCCCTTAAATAAAACTAGCCATTTAGTCCGCGCTACGCGTCGGTACTTTTTTTTTGAAGTTTTTGATGATTTACAAATCGTCTAAAATTATAAAGTCCTGCTTCTCTCTGTTGATCTATTTCTCAGTTTTGTATATGTGGTGTTCGGAATTTGTCTCCTGCAAACCATATGTATGCTTAGGTGAAGCATGTTTGCCATGCTGTGTACTTTAATGTCATCGTTATGTATTTGCTTTGACAGGTCACTCTCAGGTGTAACTTCATATCATTTTGCCCGTGGAAAATTGAAAATGACTATAATTGTGATTCTCAAATAATTCAATATGACTCTGAGGTGTAGCTTCATATCACTTTACTTCATGTTTTGTTCTTATGTTTCCAAATTCGTTTCTTTATTGGAATGTAGTGGTCTGACATAATAGTTACTAGTTTTTTACCCGGCCAGTTGGCCGGAGAAGTTCATTTTATGATTTATATTAGTTAACTTATCTACATGTTTGAACTTTTTGAATCTTGTATACATTTTCTGCTCTCGTTTCGTAAGTGAATATGTGGTATGCCTATATCGTATAATATTTAATAGTTAGCACACTCGCTTGTGATGTTTTTATTCTCTGATCATAAATCATGTCGTAAAGGTTTATCACGTCCCATTTACGATCGTATATAATTTTTTTTCCCATCAAGATGCTCAAATTTATTATCTTATACAACATATATCAATTCATGATTCTTGAGTTTGTACGAACTCTCTACCAATTAATTAGAGTTCAAATTATTGGAAAAAATACTTGATTACTGGATAAATTATGTTTATCCAATTGAAATTTGACACACATCGTATCCCTTATAATGATTGAATTCTCTAAACCTCACTCATTTTTATTGTTGATGTTCATGAAGTCTTTGTATAACAACTTATTATAATTGCTAATATTTTAAGTTTGTACTATCCCTCAACCTTGCCTTTTGTCTAAATGTTCGTTTAGAATCTGAATCTAAGGATTCATATACACTATCGAAGGTTCTCATCTTAACATGTTCCTTCAATGTATAAATTTTCAACTATTTGAATGTCCATTCGCTAAAATTTCTTTATATTTGGTGTTTGTTCTAGAACAAAATTTTCATTACTTATATTAATAATTGGTAAAGTGTGTATACAACAGACAAATATTTCAAGTGCATTCAAAATTATGTATTCCTTGAATAATTAACTTATAATTTTAAAAAAAAATATTTTGTAACAAAATTTAAAAGTTCATACAAACATTGTGGCTTTTCACATGTATTTAAATTATTGGATGTATTGTAGACACATCTATTGTTAATATCTAAACATATATATATATACACAAAGAGTTTATTTTACTTTCAACACTAATTAATACCTTTGAACCTAGCTCATTGGGTGGAATATGATATCAATTTTTTTTTGTTATTGCCAAAATTTGGTATGAAATCACAAACTCACAACTATATAGACTTGTTACAATTTTCTTACTAAACTCATATTTATTAAATATTCTTCTTTTGACCCAATAGCTCGGTTTACACTATTGTAACTATAAATCTTTTTTGTTATATATGCGAAGTAAAATATTAATGTTTATTTATTACCTCAATCTTCGAATTTTAGATTTTTCTTAGCATGAAATGTGATGTTTAACGTACATCCTTAACAAAGATTTCTCTAAATTCCACACATTTCATTTTTCAAGTGATCTTGTGTCTCAGTCAAAGTTAATCAACTATTATACTTTAAGTCATTTTGGAAACTTCAATTTATAATCTTTAACAATAAATAACTCCAAGTCTGAAAAGAAAATTTATTAGAATATGATGTAAGACCTCAATAGAGCTTGCTCAATCAACATGACTAAGAGAAAATATTAGTAATGTGAACTTAGGATACATTATAAATACCGCACATGCGATTCATATGTTTTCACTTGATCAGAATGAATAAGAAGCTTTTTAATAAATAACTATTATTTCTTGGTCAAGTTTCTTTCAAACATTATCGACAAAATATTATTATTTTTGTATGTTTGTTTAAATTATTCATTAAAATGTAAATTATTATTAAGTTTAGTAAAAATGAGCATAAATCTACATAGTAATCTTTAATCATATATTTTTTGGTTTAAAAAGTGTGATATATATGTCACACTAAGAACATTAGTATATTGTTGCGTACATCGATATAATGCAAAACCAAAATGTGATATATGTCACTCTCCATCATGATTGTCACGTCGGTCGGCATGCCACCGGTTGAACCATTCAACCGGTACCGGTCGTGAAATCGACATGGCACCATCGGTATGACCGGTATGATCGTTTACGAATTTCTAAGTAAAATACATAGTTTTAGTGAATTTAAGTATGAGTACATGTAATTTTATTTGAAATATCATATTTTATTCATATATCAATATGAATTGTACGTAAATTATCTTCAAATATAGTTTATATATGATTAAATTCATTTGATATTAATGATTTTTTATATTTCTACATATTTTATTAACCGATATGAAACGACACAAACTGGTTGTACCACTGGTAAAACCATTACACTTGCAAAATCGGTTTGATAACCTTTCTCTCCATATATTATTTATAGATATAATGCAAAAACAAAAGCAAAATAATTATTGGATAAAAGAGAATTAACTATTAAATGAAGAGAGAGGGTTAAGTATAAGTACATGTAATTTTATTTGAAATATCATATTTTATTCAAATATCAATATGAATTGTACGTAAATTATCTTCAAATATGGTTTATATATGATTAAATTCATTTGATATTAATGATTTTTTATATTTCTACATATTTTATTAACCGATATGAAACGACACAAACTGGTTGTACCACTGGTAAAACCATTACACTTGCAAAACCGGTTTGATAACCTTTCTCTCCATATATTATTTATAGATATAATGCAAAAACAAAAGCAAAATAATTATTGGATAAAAGAGAATTAAATATTAAATGAAGAGAGAGGGTCAACTCCATAAATAGGTCAATAACTATTTTTTTGGTAAAAAAATTGTCCACCTTGGCAACTTGAGATCTCTCCAAGTGCTTATGTGGCAAAATTTTAATTTTGAATTGCCATAATATTATAGATAGATAGATAGATAGATATAGATAGATGTGTGGAACAAATTTGTCTTTCTTATCTTGTGAACCATTTAGTAACAGCAACCAAGCTGGTCTGCAGCATCCACGCCAATCTATCTATCTATCTATCTATCTATCTATCTATCTATACATAATATTATGGCAATTCAAAATTAAATTTTTGCCACATAAGCACTTGGAGAGATCTCAAGCTGCCAAGGTGGACAATTTTTTTACCAAAAAAATAGTTATTGACATGTTTATGGAGTTGTCCCTCTCTCTTCATTTAATATTTAATTCTATTTTATCCAATAATTATTTTGCTTTTGTTTTGCATTATATCTATAAATAATATGGAGAGAAAGGTTCAAACCGGTTTAGCAAGTGTAATGGTTTTACCAGTGGTACAACCGGTTTGTGTCGTTTCATGCCTGTTAATAAAATATGTAGAAATATAAAAAATCTTTAATATCAAATGAATTTAATCATATATAAACCATATTTGAAGACAATTAACGTACAATTCATATTGATATTTGAATAAAATATGATATCTCAACTAAAATTACATGTACTCATACTTAAATTCAATAAAACAACGTATTTTACTTAGAAATTCGTACAACGATCATACTGATGGGGTCATGTCGATTTCATGACCGGTACCGGTTGAATGGTTCAGCCGGTGGCATGCCGACCGACGTGACAATCATGATGCATGGAGTGTGACATATATCACATTTTGGTTTTGCATTACACCGATGTACGCAACAGTACACTAATGTTCTTAGTGACACATATATATCACACTTTTTAAACCAAAAAATATACCATTAAAGATTACTATGTAAATTTATGCTCATGTTTACTAAAACTTAATAATAATTTACATTTTA